CTCTGAGCTTGTTGACTTTGCTGCTGCCTGTCGTCTAGACTTCGCTGCTAGTCTTGTTGCTGAGTCTGAGTCTGTCTGTCCTCCGTTCGTCGGGGGTGAGTGTGTTCTTGGCACGGACGTCCTTGAAGACAGGCAGGAGGACTTTGAGCGTCTTGCAGCCGCTGCGCCTCATCTCGTGGCCATGCTGCTTGCCCCTGAGGGAGACCCGGATGCTCCATACATCCCGACCCCGCGCTCTTACGCTGAGGCGATCGCAGGTGAGTACTCCTCTCAGTGGCAGACAGCCATGGACGCAGAGATGGCATCCTGGAAGTCCACAGGCACTTACGTCGACGCAGTTCCCCCTCCTGGGGCGAACGTAGTCGATGGCATGTGGATTTTCAGGGTGAAGCGGCCGCCGGGTTCTCCGCCTGTCTTCAAGGCTCGTTACGTTGCACGAGGCTTCAGTCAGCGACAGGGAGTTGACTTCTTCCAGACCTTCTCCCCCACTCCGAAGATGACCACTCTTCGGGTGCTGCTGCACGTTGCCACTCAGCATGACTACGAGCTTCACTCTCTGGACTTCAGCACAGCATTCTTGCAAGGCAGTCTGCACGAGGAGATCTGGCTGCGCCGCCCACCTGGCTTCACTGGGTCGTTCCCTCCTGGTACCCAGTGGAGCCTCCACCGGCCAGTCTACGGTCTCCGTCAGGCGCCTCGTGAGTGGCACGACACACTGAGGACAACACTTGCGGCTCTTGGGTTTGCACCTTCCACTGCTGACCCGTCGCTGTTTCTGCGCACTGACACTTCGTTGCCGCCGTTCTACATCTTCGTGTACGTTGACGCCTTGGTCTTTGCCACTGCTGACACTGAGGCTCTCGCCCTTGTGAAGTCGGAGCTGCAGAAGAGACACACGTGCACAGACCTGGGTGAGCTGCGCAGCTACCTTGGCCTGCAGATCACCCGGGACAGAGCACGGCACACCATCACACTGACTCAGTCACACATGGTGCAGTAGGTCCTTCAGCGCTTCGGCTTCACTTGGTCCTCGCCACAGTCCACTCCCCTGGCTACAGGTCACTCGCTCTCAACTCCACCTTCGGACGAGTCCGTAGAGCCGAGTGGTCCGTTCCCAGAGTTAGTGGGCTGCCTCATGTACCTGATGACCTGCACTCGTCCTAACCTTGCGTACCCTCTTGGCCTTCTGGCACGCTACGTGGCTCCTGGTAGGCACCGAAAGGTGCACTTCGATGCTGCGAAGAGGGTACTGCGCTACTTGTGCAGTACATCGGGCATGGGGCTCGTGCTTGGAGGGCGGAGCTCAGTTGTCCTCACTGGGCACTCAGACGCTTCTTGGGTTGACGACCTGGCTACCCAGCGGTCGTCACAGGGTTACACGTTCAGCCTTGGCTCTGGCTCTGTTTCTTGGCGGTCTACCCGCTCGTCTTCTGTTTTCAGCTCCAGTTGTGAGGCTGAGATCTACGCCACAGCCATGGCTGCACAGGAGTTACGCTGGCTCACCTACCTGCTGACCGACTTGGGAGAGAGGCCTCGTTCTCCTCCAGTTCTGTACGTCGACAACAAGGCTGCCATTGCCTTGTGTCAGGACCACAGACTGGAGCACAGAATGAAGCACATCGCTCTGCGTTACTTCCTTGCTCGAGAGTTGCAACAGCGTGGTCAGCTTCGTGTCGCCCACGTGCCCACCCAGGCGAACACAGCTGATGTGTTCACCAAGGCCCTTCCGGCTGGTGATCATCAGCGCTTCTGCACTGCTCTAGGCCTGGTGCCTACGTTTCCTCACTTGCTGTAGACTTTGGTTGTACTGTGATATATATATATATCAACCTGCATGTTTACTCTTGCTAGGTAGTGATCACTGTACTGTTGTTGTTGCATATATACATCTGCATGTGAACTGGTCTTGTGGCCCTTTTGCTTGTGCTCGGAGTGTGTGGTGACGTTGTGATCCACCCTGAGTTTGCATTGTTTTTCTTGACTGGTCTTGTGACCCCTTGTTCTCCCCCACTTTGCCTATGGGGGTGTGTCAAACTATATATATGCTATGGTATAATGGGTAGGCTATAGTGGGGTAGCCAACATGGGGTACAACCCCTTAAAGTTTTGTACTTGTACCAACTCTCTCGATAGTTTACACCATTCCTGCTTGTTAATTCTAACACCTTCCCCAGATTTTCCATACCTGCCCCCTCTCCCTCTCCCCTTTTTCTTAGGCCACAAACGTGCCCCACTCCCCCCCCTCCCAACAACACCAACCCCCTCCCCTCCCCCCCCCGTTCCCCTAGAGTGCTCTGCTCCCTTGAGTAGGTCTAGCTCGAATAACTTAGCTGGTCTAGCTCGAATAACTTAGCTGTTTTACGCATGCATGCTCAGAGCAGGAAATAGAAATGGCCAGAATTTCAAGGCAGGATTTGTCCGCTTTCCGGATATTTCAGAGTTTGTTTCGGGCCAGCTCAGCTTCGTACAGGCTGGATCCAGAGCAATTGACATCCCGGATGAGGGCATGAGATTCGTAATTCTTGCCGATCTCCTCTCAGTAGACTAGGTTTGCTTAGATGGTATTTGTCTTACACTTGCTGTACCGTTTGGTATAGGACCGTTTTTTAGCATGAGAGCATGGAAGCACGAGAGCATGGGAGCCCGCAGGCTGGAATGGAAGGAAGGGCAAGCTTGCTGTGTGCTGCCTGCTCACCTGGAAATGAACGAGCACGTGCTGGTGCCAGCGCACAGAGAAAGCGGCAGCTTGTGGCAGGAGTGAGCCGGCAAGAGAGCGGAGGTGGATTGGAGGTGGTGGTTTAGGGGAGGGGAGTAAAGAGAGGGTGGCGTGTGGAGGAACAGGACCTTTGTGGAAAGCGCCAGCCGTGGTGGTCGATGGGAAGCGCCTTGGCCACCTCAGCAGCAGTCTGCTGCGTGTGGCTGAAGGGAAACGCCACCACCACCATGTCCTCCCCTGCCACCACCACCACGGCCTCCCTCCCCACGCCATGCCGCACTGGTCCAGCAGCCGGCACACTCAGCACGCGTGGGAGACACGATGCAGTGGAGGGCAGGTGTGCGAGCATGCGTGTCCCACGGAGCAGGATGCGAGCACTGCACCTGGCGCACACAATGCATCTGATGCCTCTCACCACCTACCCTTCCACCACCCCACTTTCACCTATCCACCTCTCTCACCAGCCCACCCCTCTCACCTGCCAAGGCCTCTCACCTACCCACCCCTCTCACCCTTCCAACTTGGACAGCATCGTTACAAGCTAAACTCATAATGCTCCTAACAATGGGTCTTAACGTTGCTCTAGCTCGATAATCAAAGCCAATAACCAATGCTCAAGATCCATCAAAAGTACCGTATGCAACAATGGGTCTTAACGTTGCTCTAGCTACCGTGAGAAATATGCAGCACCTTATCAAAAGTATCAAAATGAAATGAGGAAGTAAAGATTGGTCACTAGGCTATTGGAGCAGAAGGAATCCCGTTTCAGGCATCAAAGGCCAATGAAATGCAAACCACCTAGCACTCCAGCAAACCAAATAGTTCTGCAGCAACCCAACTAGCACTGCAGCAAACCAACTTGCACTACAGCAACCAAACTAGCACTACAGCAACCAAACTAGCACTACAGAAAACCATATAGTTCCGCACCCAACCAGCTAGCACTGCGGCAAAGCAGGTGGTAGGGCAGCGGCAGGGCAGCAGACTTGGCAGCGTCCTCTACACGCAGAGGTAGCCAATGCAGTTGACAAAGTTCTTGACGCAGAACAGACCGCTGCAGCGCCAGTCGGTGGGGCAGAGGACGGGCGAGGCAGAGCCGCACACGGTGTCTGTAAGCACACGCACAGCCACACAAGGCAGGGAGTGAGAGGAGAGCGTTAGGTGCAAGGCAACGCGCTGAAGAAGTTGGCAGATGATGGCAGCATACTTAGACGCATGGCAGCATATTTAGACGCATGGCAGCATACTTAGACGCATGGCAGCATACTTAGACGCATGGCAGCATACTTAGACGCATGGCAGCATACTTAGACGCATGTCAGCATACTTAGACGCATGGCAGCATACTTAGACGCATGGCAGCATACTTAGACGCATGGCAGCATACTTAGACGCATGGCAGCATACTTAGACGCATGGCAGCATACTTAGACGCATGGCAGCATACTTAGACACATGGCAGCATACTTAGACGCATGGCAGCATACTTAGACGCATGTCAGCATACTTAGACGCATGGCAGCATACTTAGACGCATGTCAGCATACTTAGACGCATGTCAGCATACTTAGACGCATGGCAGCATACTTAGACGCATGGCAGCATACTTAGACGCATGGCAGCATACTTAGACGCATGGCAGCATACTTAGACGCATGGCAGCATACTTAGACGCATGGCAGCATACTTAGACGCATGGCAGCATACTTAGACGCATGGCAGCATACTTAGACGCATGTCAGCATACTTAGACGCATGGCAGCATACTTAGACGCATGTCAGCATACTTAGACGCATGGCAGCATACTTAGACGCATGGCAGCATACTTAGACGCATGGCAGCATACTTAGACGCATGGCAGCATACTTAGACGCATGGCAGCATACTTAGACGCATGGCAGCATACTTAGACGCATGGCAGCATACTTAGACGCATGGCAGCATACTTAGACGCATGGCAGCATACTTAGACGCATGGCAGCATACTTAGATGCATGGCAGCATACTTAGACGCATGGCAGCATACTTAGACGCATGGCAGCATACTTAGACGCATGGCAGCATACTTAGACGCATGGCAGCATACTTAGACGCATGGCAGCATACATTGACGCATGGCAGCATACATAGACGCATGGCGGCATACTTAGATGCATGGCAGCATTACTTAGACGCATCGCAGCATACTTAGACACATGGCAGCATTCTTAGACGAATGGCAGCATACTTAGACGCATGGCAGCAGCAGAAGCAGTAGTTCCCCCCTGAGCACCGGGCACTTACTGACGCAAGTGAAGGGCAGCGTGGCGGCGCCAACAGCGTTGGGCGTGCCAGCAGCAAAGGGCGCGGAGGCATTGACGGTGCAGACGCCGCGGGCGTAGCACAGCATGCCCTGCCCGTTGCTGGCCTCGCAGAAGTTGCAGCCTGCGCTGCGCTGCGCCGTGCCCTTGGTGGCGCACGTGGTGGCGGCTAGGAAGCAGTTGTTGTTGGCACCACATGAGGTGGCAGTGTTGGCCGGGAAGGAGCCCGAGAGGAAGTTGGAGCCCACGTCGATTTCCTTGAGCCCCGCCGCCAGTGGCGGCACGCGGTACGTCAGGTAGTTGTAGGACAGGCCCCTGGCACGAGGAAGAGAAAGGAAAGGGGGGGCAGTATGGGGGACGAGAGAGGAAGGACAGATATGTAAGGAGGGACGGATGTGAAGATCAACCTGAGTGGGTGGGCTGGAGACTTCACAATATAGCAGCAGCAAAAATGGGTTGGCTGTTAGGTACGGAGCAGGCGAGTGCATGGCAAGGGGGAGGTGGCACGGCGTGGGGAGCGGAACTGACAGGCGTGTGAGCTTGGGCATGGCGACGAGCGCCGGAGGAAGACTGCCGAAGAACCAGTTGAAGTCGAGCAGGCTGCGGGAGACACACCCATGTGCACACCCACACCCATTCACACACACACACATACAGAATGCGGAGCAGAGAAAGGAACGGAATGTGGGTAAGTGGGCAAGACAAGAGGTGAGAAAAGGGCAAAGGATGGTGAAACTACACGGGAGGAGGTGCAGACAGTGCCTTGTGCTGTGACATTGGGAGGCGGCTCACAGCACTGCGAGGTTGGGCAGCAACTCACAGCACTGCGAGGTTGGGCAGCGACGGAATCTTGCTGCCAAACTCCTCCAGCCGCGCCCTGAAGAGGTTCGACTTGAGCGAGCTGCCGCACCATGCCAGTGGCACGGAGTGGGTGGGAGGGGGAAAAGGGGGAATAAGGACGTGAATAGAGTAGGGGTGCAACCTGAAGAGAAGGCATGGTTAGTTCGGAAGAGACAAGTAAGCATGTTTCCTGGCAGCACTCACTTCAGCGTGCGGCTGCTTACAAGACAAATGTGTTTGCATGCATGTGAATACTTGGGCAATGGTTGTGCTTACATGAATGTGAGTGCCGTGAGCTTGGTGATGTCAGCATGCAGAATGCCAAACAGCTTCTGACTGTCCAAGGTGCTGTGGGAAGGCAGCGGGGTCGGGCAAGAAAGTGGAAGGGAAGACGTGGGAGCGAAGGGGAAGTGAGCCGTGGTGGGAAGAAGGAGGGGAGACCGACTTGGGGGGCATGAACGGCAACCACAAGTACAACTCCACAGAAATTCACGCCTAGCCTCTTAAAGAAGTTTCCGTCTGGGTGCTTATCCCTCTAAGAGATCTCTGGTCCTTGATGCTCACATCTTGACGGGGTTGCCCAGAGAGTCGCACTCGACGCCGGTGAAGCCGCCGCCGCCCGAGCTGCCGACAGCAGTGCAGGAGGATGCGGGGTCCCAATTGGTGTACGTCACTCCCAGCGCCGTCTTGATGTTCATCAGCGCCGACGCTGGTGCATGGGGAAGGTGGGGTGAAAGGGGTGGGTGGGGCACACGGGCAGCAGCGGTGAGAGGCATTGCACATGGAATGGAACACCGTTCTTCAGCATATTGCAGGGGTTAAGGGCAAAACATCTTTGTCAGGCGATCGCCATCACAATGCCATCTCTGTGCTATTAAGTAGAAGGCTGTAAAGAGGCCGGAATCCGTAAAGGTACCTGCGGCCGCGTTGGTAGTGACAGGCGGGGCAGGGGGGCAGGTGAGGGCGAGCACGGTCGTGGAGGGGGTGGGAATTGCAGTGGCTGCCTTCACAGCGGCAGGGTCGGGCTGGCAGGTGGTCCCGCCGGCACACAGCGTGCCAGAGCCATCGGCGCTGTTGCAGATGGCGCAGGAGGAGCGCTGGGTGACGCCCTGGCCGTTGTTGACCTTGCACTGCGTGGGGTCCGTGAGGCAGTTCTGCCTCGCCGTGCAACCCACCCACGCCACCGTGGGGAAGGTGCCGCGCAGCCAGTTGTTCTCGATGTCCAGCACCCTGAGTGCCGTCCCCACCGCCGGCAGCACGCCTGTCAGGTAGTTCCAGCCCACGCTCCTGCAGCCCACGCATGCACAGCGGGCGGAGGGAGGAGGGAGCGGGCGGGAGGGGAGATACAGTTAGAAGTGGAGAGACTCGGGAGGAAGGGAGTGGGGATGCGTGGGTGGGGCAGTGTGGCACTTGGTGGTGCATGGAGGGGCATTTAGAGGGATGCAGGATGGAGAGGTGGGTGTGCGTGGAGGGAAGGCAGGGCGCTCACAGCGTGTAGAGGTTCTTGATGGCGGAGACGGTGGAGGGGATGGAGCCCGAGAAGAAGTTGTAGTTCATGACACTGCACAGGGGCACGCGCATGGGGCACGCGCATGGGGCACGCGCATGGGGCACGTGCATGGGGCATGGTGACGGACGGGAAGGGAGGGGTTGCATCTCGCAAGAAAGTTAACGTTTGGGACAGACGGGCGAGACGGGGAGACGGAGAGGGGTTAGGGTACAAGCATTTGAGGCTGAGGTATGAGCGTGAGAGGAGAGATGGGGTTGGGGGGGCGTACATGGATCTGAGGGCGGTGAAGCTGGTGAGCGGCGAGATGAAAGGGTCCAGCGGGCCCGACAGGAAGTTGCTTGACACGTCCCTGCAACGAGCAGGGGGGGGTAGGGGGAGTGGGGAGTACAAGGCATGAGCACATGGGCGCAATTTGAGGGACCAGCGCGTGTGGAGTGCGAGTGTCTTGCAGTGTGGAACGCGAAAGAGTGCGGAGAGCCGGAGAGCCTGGAGAGGCGGTGAGTGTGGCGAGCAGCAGTGGCGGCACTGACAGGGCGGTGAGCGCGGAGAGCTTGGAGATGTCGGGGTGCATGGTGCCGCGCATGCCGCGCTGCTTGAGGAAGAGGTCCACCACGCCGCCCTGCGCGTTGCAGTAGACGGCGGGCATGTCCTCGGGGCCCTTGGTGATGCCCGTCACCGTGCACATCGTCTGCGTGCCCCACCCCGGGTGCGGCACTCCCAGCGCCGTCTTCATGTTCGCCAGGATCGGCACTGCGGGGAGGGTGGCACACCCAGGTGGGAGGAAGGGGGGTGTATAGGGGGGATGGGCGTGGATCCGGGGAATGGGCAAGGGAGAGTGGATTGCCGAAACAGCAGTGCGCATGGCACGTGGGGCGGGGAGCGTTATTGCGAGCAGTGGAATAGGCATTGCGAGAGGGCAGAGGGACGCACGGGCAGCGGGGTCGATGCGGACGCCAGTGCACATGAGTGGCAGCACGGCAGCAGATGCACTGTTGGGCGTCTTGGAGGCGAGCGGCGTGGCGGTGTTGGGCACGCACACTCCGCCCCCGCACAGCAGCGTGGACGCGTTGGCGTAGCCGCAGATGGCGCAGGCGGCTGCAGCACGCTGCACGGAGGAGCCCGAGGAGACACACTTGGAGGCGTCGAGCAGGCAGTTGTTGCGCGCGTCACACATGGTGGTGGCGGACGCTGGGAAGGAGCCCACGAGGTAGTTGGACGCCACGTTGAGCGTCTTGAGGGCCGCTGCTGGGGCACCGGTGATGGTGCCAGTGAGATAGTTGAACTGCAGATTGCTGTAGGTGGGGAGCCAGGCGGCACGGTGGTGAAGGGTGGTGGAGGGCGGAGCGGAGAAAAAGAGCGAAAGGTGAGTGGAGAGTGGGGTGCTGGGTGAGAGTGGGGTGCTGGGTGAGAGTGGGGTGCTGGTGGAGAGTGGGGTGCTGGGTGAGAGTGGGGTGCTGGTGGAGAGTGGGGTGCTGGGTGAGAGTGGCTGGAGTAAAGAGAGACAATGAGCAAGTTCACGAGTGTATGCGAGCAACGGCCGTGCATGTGAGTGTGTGTGTGTGTGTGTGTGTGTGTATGTGTGTGTGTGTGTGTGTGTGTGTGTGTGTGTGTGTGTGTGTGGGAGCGTGTGTACGTGTGTGTGGAACTTACAGGGTTGTGAGGGAGGAGAGAGTGAGCAGATAGGAAGGCAGAGTGCCGGAGAACCAGTTGTAGTTGAGAGCGCTGTTTGGGAGGGGTGAAAAAAGGGTGGAGAAGGTGGAGAAATGACAAGGAAGGTGGTGAGGGTGGGAGAGACAGGAGGACATGCCAGCACAAGAAAGGGCAGGGCAGACAGGCGGGCAGGCAGGGAAATGCAGGGCAAGGCACGGCAGGGCAGGGCAGCACAGGGCAAGGCAGAGCAGGGCGGGGCAGGGAGGGCAGCGAGGGGGAGGGCACTGACAGGTGCTTGAGCGCCTTGAGCATGGAGAGCGCCGTGCCCCACTCGCCCAGGCGCCCCTCCAGCAGGTTGGACGCCAGGTTGCTGCCGGGGAGAGGGGGGGGGGGGTGGGGGAGTGGGGGAAGTGAGGGCAGGACACCAGGCGAGTGCCAGGGAAGGGATGGTTGAGGCTCCACGGGCATGGGGCTTGCATGGAATAAACATGGAGCACTCGGTATGGAGAGGGGTAGAAGAGGGTTGTCGACTGAGGGTGCATGCATGACGAAGGCAGTGTGGGTGCGGGTACAGTGGGAAGAACACTCACATCCTCGTGATAGCAGTCAGCTTTGAGACGTCTGCAGGCAGACTCCCCCGCAGACCCTGGCTGGCCAGATCCCTGTGGTGCCGCCCATGCCATGCCACCATCAAGCAGAACACAGGAAAGGAATGAGTCAGCAGATCACATCAGGAATGGAGTCCTATGAGGCAAATGGAAACAGCTAACTCTTCCTATTCTCCCTGCGCATCCCGTGTACATAATTCATGTGTGCTCGGTCACAGGGGGGCTGCAGCACTGACAGGGTGAGAACTTGGCCGGTGGTGTCGCAACCGACGCCCGCCCAGCTGCCGGGCATGGGGGGGTTGCCCGCCACGTCGCACGGCGAGTCCACCAGCCAGCTCGTCTGCGTCACTCCCAGCGCCGCCCTCAGCACCAGCAGCGCTTGCGCTGCTCTCATGCACCGGGGGGGGGGGGGGGGAGAAGGGGGATGGAGGGACGTGAGGCACAGGGAAGCGGTGAGGGCAGAGGCAGGAGAAAAGAGGCATGGTGCACACTGTGGCATGTGTGGGGATATGCAACAGAGCTGTGTGCATGTGCCACGTGTGTCTGTGTGTGTCTGTGTGTGTGTGTGTGCCCGAGTGGGTGAGTGTGCATGTGCATGTGAGGCATGGAGACAGCACACATGGGCGCACCAGCAGTGGCGTCGATGGGGGAGGGGCCGCAGTAGAAGGGCTGAACGGGCGCCGTGAGGCTGTTGACCGTGCCAGCCGCCAGGGGAGTCGTGGCGTTGAGAATGCAGGGAGCACCGCCGCACAGGGGCGGGGCGGCGCTGGTGGTGGCGCAGATGTTGCAGCCTGAGGTGCGCTGAGCCACGCCGTAGGCATTGGTGCAAGTGCCAAGGCCGGAGAAGCAGTTGCTGCGGATGTCACAGAACTGGAAGGCTTGCAAGGGGAAGGCGCCGGCGAGGAAGTTGTGGTTGACGGCCAGGTACTTGAGCTTGGTGGGCACCGCTGGCAGCGTGCCCGTCAGGTAGTTGGCACTCAGCCGCCTGTGTGGGAGGAGCAGGGGGAATGGAGGGCACGTGAGTGAACGTGCGGATGGGTGGGACACACATGGGCATATGGATGGAGAAAGGGAGAGCGAGTCGGGTGTTGACAGGTGGCGCATCCACTGCACCGTACACCACGCACGGGCCGTCAGGGAGAGTGAGCGAGCGTGAGAGGTGGTTTGTGTGGCAGGCTGTAGTGTATCGCTCGCGCCTTCGTGCGCTTTCCAGTGCATAGACACCACCAACCCGAACCAGCAACTGAAAACCATCCAGCACCTGACAGCCATCCTGACAGTCATCCTGAAATATGTGGCTGTTACCACCACTGGGAGTGCTCGAAACTGACATTTCTGTGAGCGATGCCATGTTGAGCAGAGTGGAGGGCACGCTGTCATAGAGGTAGTTGAAGTTGAGGTTGCTGGCGGGCGAGAGGGGGGCACATGTGCAGAGGAGGGGCACGGATTGAGAAGAGGGCGAGTGAACTCAGATTAGGGCAACGAAAGTTAGTGGCATATAGGGTTGACAAAGCGAGGTGACGGCAATCAGGGAGAGGAAGGCATGTGAGCGGATGGTGACGGGCATGTGAGAGTTAGGTAGGAGAGGGAGGAGGGGCGAGGGGACGCACAGGGTGACGATGGTTTTGAGCGGCGTGATGTTGGTGATGAAGGTGGAGAGGCGGCCATACAGCAGATTGTAGCCCAGATGCCTGCACTCACGAGCAGGGGGGGGGTAGGCGAGCACGGGCGGGGATGGGCGAGCATGGGGTTGGGATTAGGTGATGGGCTGGTGAGCATGGGAGAACGAAGGAGCGCACAGGTAACGGCTGGTAATGAGGATGGGTGAGAATGAGGTGATGCACATACAGGTAGGAGAGACCAGTGAGTTTGGTCATGTCTGCATGGATTGTGCCTTGCAGCTTCATGTTGTCCAGAATGCTGCCATGGCAACACGCATGGGGGGTGGGCCAAGAAAAGGAAGATAAGTGGCATGAGAGGCGAAGCTCTGGGAAGGAGAGACATACAGAGAGCCACACAAGTGCGCTACTTCCTCCTTTGCAACCCTAAACCCTAAACTCTGACATTCGCTTTCCGGTAGTTTCTGGCCGCGTCGGCCCCTCTTGCCAAGATTCTCATGAGTTTTGAGACGTCTCAAAACTCGTTGGCCCTTCTTGCCAAGATTCACAGGACTCAAAGGACGTTTTGAGAGGAGAGGGGGAGGGGAGGAAGTGGGAGGCTCACAGGGAGACGACGGCGAGGGGGCGAGGGGGAAAGGAAAGGGGGTTCTCACAGGGAAACAACGGCGCCGCTGCCACTGCACCAGACACCCGGCCAGGACTTGGGGGCGATGGTCTGCCCGATGATGTTGCAACCGCTGCTGGCACTCCAGTCCGTGTACGTCACTCCCAGCGCCGCCCCTATGTTGAGCAACGCCGCCGCTTCTCTCAGAGGGGATGCAGGGGGGGAGGACACTCAGAGGATACATGGGTGAGATTCCGACGCAGCAGGCACACATATAGGCAGGGAATGCAGCAGGGAGCAGGGCACAGGGCATGGCATGGCATTGAAAGGCACGACCTGAAACGACCTGGCATGGCATGGCACGACATGGAACGACTTGCCATGGCATGACACGACATGGAGTGACATGGCATGGAGAGGACGGCACTCACAGGAGGCGGCGTCGAGGGGCAGGGCGGGGCACTTGAGGGCGAGGGTGGGAGCAGTGGCGCTGTTGGGCACTTTGGACGTCACATACGCCGAGGGGTCAGGCATGCACACTGCCCCGCCACACAGCGGCAACTGCCCGTTGCTCGACCCACACACGTTGCACCCGGCGCCCCTCTGGGCAGCACCGGCAACGTTGAAGCAGGAGGCAGTGTCAAGGAAGCAGTTTTGGCGTGAGGCGCAGTGCAGGAGCGTGGCGGCGGGGAAGGTGCCCGAGAGGAAGTTGAACTCCGTGTCCAGCGCCTTCACCGCCGCTGCTGGATTGGGCAGCGTGCCCGTGAGGTAGTTGTTGCCGATCATGCTGCGAGCGACACACACATGCATGCACCACAAACACATGCCCATCAGGAGAGTAAGGAAGCAGGGAGCTCGAAACGGCGTCGATGGATGGAAGGCTGAGTGAAAGGGACGCAGCAGCAGTGGGGAGGATGGGGGAGGGCAGTTTGTGTGGAGAAAAGTGTGGGGGAGAGGGGGGGGAGGAAGGGGGGAGGGAGGGGCGAGGGCGTTACAGGAAGGAGACGGCAGCCATGTTGACGAGCGTGGTGGGGACGGTGCCGTAGAACCAGTTGAAGTTGATGTGGCTGGAGGGGGGGCGACGAGGGAGCACACACGCAAGCACGCACATGGACACGCACGCACGCATACGCATGTGAACACGCAGGCATGAGGTATCCTGCTGTAGGTCAAGATACAATGCAGTGGGCGGTTGTGGACAGGAGAGAGCAATGACGAGCGGAATGAAGTCTGCAGCAGAGCAGAGGAAAGAGGCTATTAGAGAGAGGGTAGAGAGGGGATGAGGGGGAGGAAGCGGAGGAGGGGGACGGAGGGGCAGAGGCATGGCGACACTGACAGCTCCTTGAGGCTGGCGATGGGTGTGACGGGCACGATGTAGGTGCCGAGGCGGTGGAAGAAGAGGTTGGACGTGAGGTACCTGCACACAGAGGCCAGAGGAATTGGCGGAGGAGGGTGGCAGCAATGAGAGCAGCAAACAAGAGGGACAAAGGGGAGAGAAAGGGGGGAGGTGCAAGAGGTGAGGGTGTGCAATGGGTTGCGTTGTTGTTGGTGCGATGCTGACAATTGACTGCAGCGAGGAGCACAGCCGGTGGCATGGAATGTGGGCGCCGCACAGGGCATCCTCCCACAATGCTCGCAGCCATCGATGTGAGTGAAGGGACGGTGAGTTGAGCGAAGGGGCGGCTTACAGCGACGTGAGGGTGGTGAGCTTGCTGATGTCGGAGTGCACAGTGCCACTCAACAGCTGGCTCCTCAGGTCCCTGCACACCGGATCCCAGGCAGCACCAGGGGCACATGCAGCAGCAGCAGGGGCACACAGGGGCAGGGGAGAGAGGTGAGTGAGAGTCGCCCAAGAGAAGCAGCCGCAGCGTATAGGCACGGTGGCGTGGTGGTGGAAGGAGGAGCACCAGGAGCGGCGGCACTCACAGGCTGACGATTTGGCCGAGTGGTGAGCAGCGCACGCCGGTCCACGAGCCGGCGATGGGCGTCTGGCCTTCGAGGGTACACGACCCCACCGCCTTCCAGTCGTACAGCAGCCCTGACCCCCTCGCTTGCAGGGAACGGCGCTTGGGCCCCGTCTTGGGCTTCTTGCCCGTCTTGGGCTTGGGCGAGGTGGCCTTGGGGGCGGCGAGCGTGGCGGTGGTCCAATCCGAGAAGGTGGCGCCCAGAGTGGTCTTCAGTGGTCTCCAGCGCCACGCCCACACAAAACCGCGGCAGCACCGCTGCCGCTGCGCTGTTGGGAACGCTGGTGCTGAGAGGCACAGCTGTGTTGGGCGCACACGTGCCGCCGCCGCACACTGTGCCCGAGCCGTCCAGCGTGTCACAGACAGCACAGGCAGCAGCCACGCGTTGCACGGTGCCTCCCGTGGTGCAGGCGCCGATGCTGGCGAGGCAGTTGCTGTTGGCGGAGCAGGAGGAGAAGCCGGTGCCGGGGAAGGTGCCCGACAGCCAGTTGCCGTCCAGCACTATGGTCTTGAGCGCCGCGCCTGGAGTGGGCATGGCGCCGTACAGGTAGTTGTAGCTCGCACCACTGTGGGAGGGGAGGTGGGCAAGTGAGGATATATTTTACGTCTTTCAATACTTGTCTAGCCTCGCGCCCGGAGCGGGCATGGTGCCGCACAGGTAGTTGTAGCTCGCACCATGGTGATGGTAAGGGGGGTGGGAAGGGTGGGCAAATGAGGAGAGTTAGTGGAAGCAGGTGAGTGGAAAGAAGGGAGATTCAGCAGTGAGATGGAACGATGGGAGCAGGACGTCTATGTCTACAAGCTCAGACTGCGTGGAGCGGTGAGGTGAGCCTGGGCTAGATTTGCAGAGACACTCGCAAGCAGGACTTTCCTGTGGAGGGTGCAACTCACAAGGTGGAGAGTGTGGCAATGCCGACGAGTGCTGAAGGGATGGGGCCTGTGAACCAGTTGAAGTCAAAGTAGCTGCACGGGGATCATCCCAGGGAGGAGAAGCCGAGGGAACAGGGAGAGGAGGAGAGAGTGGGGTGAGGGTCGGGGAGAGGTGGGTTTATGAAATGCATGAGCAGTCAGAGAGTGATGCTGCGGAAACACGGCGATGGCAGGATGATGGAGGCAAGGGCATGCAGTGCGGTGCGGTGCGATGGTACCATCCCAGGCAGGCGGCACTCACGCTTCCTTGAGCCCTGTGAGCGCCTTGAAGTTGGTGGTGAAGACGTCGAGACGGCCCTCCAGCAGGTTGGCGCGCAGATTGCTGCGAGAGGTAGAGAGGTAGATGCAGGGCGCACAGGGGGAGAGGTGAGAGATGAGCGGTGTGGGGTGATTGATAGTTGGCAGAAGAGAAAAAAGGAAAAGCAGGTGAGGCAGCTCACATGGACGAGAGGCAGCTTACATGTAGGTGAGGGCAGTGAGCTTGGAGATGTCCGAATGCATGGTCCCTTGGAGCCTCTGCTGCCCCAGATTGCTGCGCATTGACCAACGCCCACACACACGCACACAACCACAAGGACACACATTGAAAACTGAGATCCGCAGACAAGCATATTAGCGCTCTCCAGCAGAATCCAGACAATTAGTGGTGCTGGTGCGGAGAGGAGTGTAGTGCGGGGCTAGAGACACTCACAGGGTGCTGACGTGGCCACTCACAACAAAACGACCGTGCCAGTGCCACTCACAGCGAGATGACCTTGCCCCAATAGGCACTCACAGCGAGATGACTTTGCCCCGATAGGCACTCACATGGACATGACTTTGCCCCAAGAGGCACTCACAGCGAGATGACTTTGCCGGAGACGTTGCAGACGACGTTGGACCAGGCGCCTGGCAGCGGCGGCAGCCCCTGGATGGTGCACGGCGAGTCCAGCGCCCAGTCCGTGAACGTCACCCCCAGCGATGCCCTCATGTTCAGCAGCGCCGCCGCTGGGTGGTGGATGGTGGTCGGGCACAGGGAGAGGGGTGGAGTGGGACACAGCAGGGGCGGGTAAGAAAGCGGGAGCGGGATGGTTGTGCGGAGCGGATGCAAGCATGAGGCGGGAGGGACATGCACTATCTGCTCCCCGCACGGCACCCTCCTGTGGTGCACTCAAGCAGGGCAGGGTGTGTGGCGCACTCACTCATGCCAGGTCTGTGGCGCACTCACCCATGCCAGGTCTGTGGCGCACTCACCCATGCCAGGTCTGTGGCGCACTCACCCATGCCAGGTCTGTGGCGCACTCACCCATGCCAGGTCTGTGGCGCACTCACCCATGCCAGGTCTGTGGCGCACTCACCCATGCCAGGTCTGTGGCGCACTCACCCATGCCAGGTCTGTGGCGCACTCACCCATGCCAGGTCTGTGGCGCACTCACCCATGCCAGGTCTGTGGCGCACTCACCCATGCCAGGTCTGTGGCGCACTCACCCATGCCAGGTCTGTGGCGCACTCACCCATGCCAGGTCTGTGGCGCACTCACCCATGCCAGGTCTGTGGCGCACTCACCCATGCCAGGTCTGTGGCGCACTCACCCATGCCAGGTCTGTGGCGCACTCACCCATGCCAGGTCTGTGGCGCACTCACCCATGCCAGGTCTGTGGCGCACTCACCCATGCCAGGTCTGTGGCGCACTCACCCATGCCAGGTCTGTGGCGCACTCACCCATGCCAGGTCTGTGGCGCACTCACCCATGCCAGGTCTGTGGCGCACTCACCCATGCCAGGTCTGTGGCGCACTCACCCATGCCAGGTCTGTGGCGCACTCACCCATGCCAGGTCTGTGGCGCACTCACCCATGCCAGGTCTGTGGCGCACTCACCCATGCCAGGTCTGTGGCGCACTCACTCACCCATGGCAGGTGCGTGCACTATACACTCACCCATGAGGGGGTCCATGGACGCGCCCAGGCAGTAGAGCGAGGCCGTGTCCGCGTTGTTGGTGTTCGCCGCCACGAGCGCCGTGGCGTTGGGAGTGCAGATGCCGCCGCCGCACATCCTGCCGGTAGCGTCGGGCGTCTCGCAGATGGCACAGGCGGTTGCAGCGCGCTGAGCAGAGCCAGCGGGGCACTTGGAGGCATCCTGCAGGCAGTTGCTGGCGCAGGTGACTGAGGTGGCGGGCGTGGTGGGGAAGGTGCCGACCAGGTAGTTGCTCGACAGGTCGATCACCTTGAGACTTGCTGGCAGGGCTGCCGGCAGGCTGCCCGTCAGGTAGTTCAGGTTCAGGCGCCTGCATCCCACGCCCCAGCGGTGGACAGCGGTTGACAGCAGTGGACAGCGGTTGGTGCAGAAAGGAGAGGGGGAGACGAGAAAGGAGTTAACGCGAGCCAGCATTGTGAGGCATGAAGGTGCGTAGGAAATGAGAGAGGGTTCAGGTGAGAGAGGCCTAGGGCAGGGGCAGGACGGCTTACAGCTCAGTAAGGGCAGTGAGGGCTGAGATACTGCCTGGGAAGGAGCCCGAGAAGTAGTTCTGATGGAGGCGGCTGCGGTGCACCGACATGGGGGCAGCACACAGGGGGTTGGCGTGAGTGTAAGCAGAGAGGCAGCAGCAGACTGGTGAAACAGCGAAGCGAACTTGAGCTTTTGAAAGTGGTGCTTACAGGGAGTTGAGGGACTTGATGGGAATGAAGGGCGCGAGGAAGTTGTCGAGGCGGTTCGAGAAGAGGTTCACCGACAGGTCCCTGTTAGGGGGCACAGCGCAACACACGAATGGCATAAGATGGGAGCGCACACACTCATTCGTTGGTATTGGCTGGCATGCGAATGGCATGCGGGGCCGCCGAATGGCATGCGATGGAACTGCAGTGGCAGGTGACGAGGAAACACAGCTTGGTGAGTGCTGAGAGCTTACAGCCTGGTGAGCATGGAGAGCTTACAGCCTGGTGAGCATGGAGAGCTTACAGCCTGGTGAGCATGGAGAGCTTACAGCCTGGTGAGCATGGAGAGCTTACAGCCTGGTGAGCATGGAGAGCTTTGAGACGTCAGTAGGGAAGAAGCCCGAGGCCTTGACACGGTTGAGAGAACTGTGAGAAGGTATGTGGACAGGCACACAGGCACGAAACGGACCCATGTAAGGTTGCAATATGTGTTATGAATCAACATGAATGCTGGTAACACAAAACGGATGGCACCGGCATGAACACAGTGTGCCATGATGTGGCATCATGCTTGATGGCTGCCGACATGATGCACGCATGGCAATGCATGCGCATGCATAACACGTGCATGGCGATGCATGACGCCTGCATGCCGCATGCACCGGCATAACGAACGTGGATAGCGGACGTGGGTTGGGAAGGCAGAGGCAGGAGGTGCAAGAAGAAGAAGGGGCGTACATATCGAGGACCATGCCGGAGGGGTTGCAGAAGACCCGAGGCAAGGTGCCGCCGATGTAGGCCTGCCCCACCAGCGTGCACGTCGGCTGCGTCCACAGCCCCGGTATCATCGCCACCAGCGCCGCCGCTGCCAGGGAGGGGCGACAAGGGCGGGGTGGGGGAATTGTGCATGAGGGCGTGAGTCATGCAAGAGGGAGCGTGCACGTCGGCTGTGTCCACAGCCCCGGTATCATCGCCACCAGCGCGGCTGCTGGGAGGCATGGTGGGGAAGGGGGAAGGGGGAGAGGGGAATCGTGCTTGAAGGTGCAAGTTGTGCTTGAAGGGACAGCTTACAAGGGGACAGCAGAGACGCACCTCATACTTGCACTTGTAAAAGGCCCTTGAAGTGAAATGGGGAGGAGTTAGCACAGATAACAAAGGCGAGTAAGGAGGAGCGGGTGTGGAAGCCCAGGAGCCCAAGAGCAGGAACCAGAGAGGCTGGGGGGCAGTGCAGCACGAGGGTTTAGGGGGGGGGGGGGAGCGCACCTTGGGAGGCTTGGATGGGCACGGGGTCGCAGCGCATGACAGGGACGGGGTTCCACTTGTTGATGGCTGTGATGGGCGACGGCGTGACGGGCACACACGGGTTGCCCATGCACGCCGTGCCCAGCGCGTTGGTGGTGCCACAGAACTGGCACCCGTTGCTGGGAATGGGCAGGTTGGGGTAGACTGCGGGGCAGGTGGTGTAGGTGGTGATGCAGTTGTAGTAGGCGGTGCAGTAGGTGGCGCTGTTGGCCGGGAAGGTGCTGCCGCCCAGGAAGTTCTGGTCCACCATGAGGCGCTTCAGTGCGGTGGAGATGGGTGCTGGGAACGTGCCCGTCAGCGCGTTCATGCTCAGCTCGCTGCACGCAGGCCGGTGGGGAAGGGGGGGGAAGGAGAGGAGGGGTTGAATAAGAAGGGGGGGTGAGAGGGAAAAAGCTGGAGCAATAAGGGAGAGCAGCACGGAGCAAGGTGAAAAGGAACGGGAGTCTGTGGGAAAGAAGGGGTGCGGGCTGCAAGGATAACGGAAGTGAGGTGAAAGGAGAAAATTGAAACTGTTTCTGCGAGGAGAAGGCATCGCGAGCGCACAGAGCGAGTGACAAAAGGGTTGAAAAGGACTGATGGGATGGCCTGGGCAGGGTCGGACAGGTTGAGGCACGGTGGGGCAGGGATGGGAAGGGTGGGGCACTGACAGGTTGGTGAGCTTGGCGAAGGAGACGAGCCAGAGGGGCACGGAGCCGTAGAGATAGTTGTTGTTGAGCCGACTGCACGCAGGGCAGGGGAGACGAGGACAGGAAGGATTGCAAATTGGCCAGGCACTCACGGCGAGAGCACGTGAGCAAGGCACTTATGGCGAGAGCACGTGAACCAGGCACTTATGGCAAAAGCAAGTGAGCAGGGCACTCACAGAGATAGCATGTTGGTGTTGGGTTTGAGGGGCGAGGCCCAGGTGTCTATGGGTGCTCGGAAGAAGTTGAAGCTCACATCCCTGGGCGGGCAGCAGCAGGTGGTGGGGGGAAAAGGGGGGAGGGGCGGGGGGTTTGAGTCGACTCAAAGATGGTGCTCTGAAGAAGTTGAGGCTCATGCCTCTGGGCTGGCAGCCGCAGTTGGTGCGGGGAAAATGGGGGAGAGAGGGGGGGAAGAAGGCGGCGGGGACATGACGGCAGGGACGAGTGGCGTGGGGCGAACAGGACACTGGCGTTTACCAGAAGACAGAATGTGGGCGGCACTGAGAAAAAGGGAAACACGTGGGCGGCACTCACAGCGTGGTGAGCGTGGAGAGCTTGCTGATGTCAGCGTGGAGAGAGCCGGTGAGCTTCTGATTGTCCAACTTCCTGCAAACATGGGATGGGGGGGAGGGAAATGCATGGTGAGGATGCAAGGTATGTGCTGCCATGGTTGCATTGCTGCAGGCACAAACAGCACGACAGGCAGTGCGTCAGCCTGAGCAGAGGAACCAGTGGGAAAGAGAGGAGGGCAAGGGTGGGAGGGCGCTGACAAGTTGACAGGCTGGCCGAGGGCGTTGCAGAGCACGCCGGACCAGGAGCCAGCGACGGGGGTCTGCCCCTCCACGGTACAGTAGCCGCCCGTGGTGAGCCAGTCCGTCAGCGCCACGCTGCCACTGCCACTGCCAGTGCTCCCCGCCGCCTTGGGCTTGAGCAGCGCCGTGGGGACCGTCCAGTCCGTGAACGTCACTCCCAGCGCCGCCTTTATGTTGCCCAGCGCCGTGACTGGCGAGTAGAGCGAGCAAGAAAGATGCACGAAAGGGGAGGTGGGTTGCAGCAAGGAGGAAATGAGAAGACGAGAGAACCAAGTGAGAGAGTGGTCATAGAGAAGAGCACAAGAGAGAAGAAAGGGGGTGCATGAATGACTACTGATGAAGGCTGGTGAGCACCACCATGCATGGTGGTGGCATGGAGAATCGTGCATGTTGGCATGGTGGCATGGAGAATTGTGCATGTTGGCATGGTGGCATGGAGAATGTTTGCCATGCATGGCAGCAGCGCATCACCCGCAGTGGCGTCGATGTTGACACCGGTGCAGTACATGGGAACCGCGGGCGTGGACAGCGTGGGGGTCGCTCCCGTCGCCACAGCCTCTGTGGCGTTGGGCACGCACATCCCGCCGCCGCACAGAGTGCCTTGAGCACTGCTGCCGCAGATGTTACAGACGGCGCGGTTCTGATTGCCGCCGGTGGTGCAGCTACCCTGGGAGGTGAGGCAGTTGTACACCGCCGCACACGTGACACCAGCGGCGATCGTGCCGATGCTGCCCGAAAGGTAGTTGGCGCTTATGTCCACTGCCTTGAGCGCCGTGCCTAGGGCGGGCACAGTGCCCGTGAGGTAGTTGAAGCTCACATCTCTGCCAGCGCAGCACAGCAGGGGAATGCAAGGGCGGATGGAGCACAGAGAGACAAGGAGGTGAGACGGCACCAGGAAGGATGGCGTGAATTGCGGCACAGAGTCCCATCAGGGTGGGCGCACGAGGCAAGCATAGCAGAAGGGCAGCGAAATGGAGGAAACGAGGTGGGATGAAACGTGTGGCGGGCAGGGAGGGAGAGTTGAGTGGGGAGTGGGAGGTGAGTAGGGATGGAGGCGGTACAGGTTGGTGAGGGTGGGCAGCGTGAGAATCGCGGATGGCAGCGGGCCCGCTAAGAAGTTGAAGCGCGCCTTGCTGCAGATGGGCAGGCAGGGGGAAGAGACAGAGCAAGCACGGGCAGAAGCAGCAGTGTGGGTGAGACACACACCAAGTGAGAGTACAGGAGCAACTAGAACAGCAGAGCGCAGAGGGGTCAAAGCTGAAAGGGACCACATGATCGACAGAGGGCAGGTGGCGAGCAGAGGCGACTGACAAGATCTTGAGCGCTGAGAGCCCCTTGAAGGCCGACGTGAAGAACGCCAGACGGCCCTGCAGCTGGTTGCTCGTCAAGATGCTGCATGCCGGGAGGGACGGGTGGCAGGGGAGAGGAAGGGAGGGGGGGCAGGTGGTGCAAGAATGGAGAAGGGGGGGTGATGGGAGGCCAAGATGCCAGAGCATATCTCCAGCAGGTGGTGGTGAGAGCGTGAGACAAGAGAACGCAGGTGCACTTGGGAGCGCAGTGGTACAGAGAGGAGAGAGTGGTGGACTTACAGCGAGGAGAGAGTGGTGAGCTTGGTTATGTCAGCATGCAAGCTGCCCTTGAGCCCTTGAGACGTGAGGTCGCTGCAGAGAAGCACAGGCAAGCGAGGGGAGTGGGGTAAGGGGGCGACGAGGTGGGAGAGGGGAGGAATGCGAATTCTTGGCGGGGCACGCGAGACAGAGGTTAATGCATCTCGTGGCTGTGCCTGGCTGCAGGCTGCAGCAATGCAGAGAGCCCCAACGGCACTGCCGCCACTCACATGCTCGTGACCTTGCCCGCTGAGTCACAAACCACGTTGGACCACGCCCCCGGCACAACAGTCTGCCCTGCAATGTTGCACGGCGCCGTGTCAACCCAGTCGGTGAGAGTGACGCCCAGTGACGCCTTGAGGTTGAGCATGGCGACGCGCATGGTGGCCTCGATGGGGCCGCCCTGGCAGAACAGCGGCAGCACCGCCTGCCCCTCCGTGTTGGGCGTGCCAGCAGCTGCGGGCGTGGCAGCGTTGGGCAAGCAGTACCCGCCGCCACACAGCACACCGACAGCCCCGGTGGAGCCGCAGACGTTGCAGTCGGCAGCGGCCCTCTGCGCGGTGCCGTTGGTGTTGGCGCACTTGGAGGCGTCTGTGAAGCAGTTGGAGCGCGCATCACAAGCTGTGACACCGGTGGTGGGGAAGGAGCCCGAGAGGAAGTTGCCCGCCACGTTCAGCTCCTTCGCCGCTGCGCCCACGGTGGGCACCACGCCCGTCAGGTAGTTGCGGTTCAGCTTGCTGTGGGCAGCCAGTGGAGGGAGCGAGGAGGGGGGTGTGGGACAAGTGAGGGGAGTGTCACGTGATGGCAGAGCAAAGGTTGTGAAACATGGCAGGTGGGGTGACAAGGGGCTCGCCAACAGCATGGGGTGGGATGCGCAGGGTGGTGAGGGAGGGGCAGAGGGGCACTCACACGCTGGAGAGGGCTGGCAGGGCGAGGAGGGCGGCGGGGATGGAGCTGTAGAACCAGTTGTACTGCAGCGACCTGTCAGTGGGCAGGGCGGATGGGCGTGGTGGGGGGGCAGCGATGTGGGGGGGGGGACAGGGCGGTGATGAAAGGCAGTATGAGATGCGTGGGCGGCTGGAGACAGCAGCACGGTGGTGGTGTGGTGACAGTGGCACGCAATTCTGAGTGCAGCACTTACAGAGACTTGAGTGTCTTGAGGGAGGTGAAGAGAGAAACAAAGACATCAAAGCGCTGCTGGAAGAGATTGGCGCTCAGATCCCTGCATGTGTGCATGTGAGCAATGCAGGCACAGGGAATCACACGCACATGCACATTCATGCATTCACACACAAGTGGCATGAGGAGTTGAGGAATGCAAGGGCGTTGATGGGCGTGGATGGGCAGGGATGGGCGTGGATGGGCATTGATGGGTAGGGATGGGCGTGGATGGGCGTGCATGTGCGTGCATGCGAGTGCATGTGCGTGCATGGGCGTGGGTAAAAGTGCATGGACACGGATGGGCGTGCATAAGCGGCGTCCATGGGTGTGTGTGGGCGTGCATGGGATCGGAAGGGGAGACGCACAGCGCGGTGAGAGCTGTGAGCTTGGTGATGTCCGACGACAGGCTTCCAGCCAGCTTCTGGTTGGGCAGCAGCCTGCAGGAACAGGTGGCCGGGGGGCGAGGGGGAGAGAGGATAGAGGGAGGGAGAACGAAGGCAGGCAGGAAGAGCACCAGTGAATGTGCGAGCAGGAGGAGCGGGGGCTACAGGAACGATGTGAAACGGCCTCGGGCAGAAAAGGGTTGCAGGCGGGCACTCACAGCAGGCGGGCAGTCACAGCAGGCGGGCACTCACAGCAGGCGGGCACTCACAGCAGGCGGGCACTCACAGCAGGCGGGCACTCACAGCAGGCGGGCACTCACAGCAGGCGGGCACTCACAGCAGGCAGGCACTCACAGCAGGCGGGCACTCACAGCAGGCGGGAACTCACAGGGCGACAATGGCGCCAGCAGAGTTGCAGAAGACGCTGGTCCATGCGCCAGGTGCAGGCACCTGCCCTTCCACGGTGCAGGAGCCCACAGTGGTGGCCATAGGCACACTGCCACTCTTCAGCGCCTTGGGCTGCAGCACCAGTGTTGTGGCCGCCCAGTCTGTTGCCGTCACTCCCGGCACCGTCTTCATCGCCAGCAGTGTTGCGGCTGCACGTACAAAGTGAGCAGAGGGGGCGTAGTGGTGGTGGCGTGAGTACGACACGGTGGGAAGGGAGGGGAGGAAGGGGGGGAGAGAGAGCACAAGAGGGGGTGGTGTGCACGGCAGGAGCGACACAGCCGCACTCACTGGTGTTGGCATCCATGGCGACCGGCGTGCAGTAGAGGTTGCGAAGGGGAGACGACGCGGTGGGAGGCCCTGTAATTTCAGTGGTGTTGACAAGGCAGGTGGCCCCGCCGCACAAAACGCCCTGGCCGGCAGCGCTGCCGCAGATAGCACAGTCCGTGGCGGTGCACTGTGCGATGCCGAGCGCCGCGCAGTTGTTGGCGTTGGTGAGGCAGTTGGTGGCGGCGGCGCAGTAGGTGAGCGCGTTGGTGGGGAAGGCGCCCGATAGGAAGTTGCTCTGCACGTCCAGCGACTTGGCTGATGCTGGCACCACGGGGACGGTGCCCGTGAGGTAGTTGTAGGCCACGGAGCTGAGAGGGGAGGGGGGGGGAGAGAAGGGGGGGAGGGGGAAGGACAAGGCAGAGGATGACATGAGTGGGTGAGAAGAGAGATGGTGTGCGATTGGAGTAGGGAAGGTGTGGCAAACATGAGAGCAGAAGGCGGGGTGATGCAGAGCACTCACAGCTTGGAGAGGGTTGTGAGGGCGAGCAGCGTGGAGGGGAACGGACCGACCAGGTAGTTGAACTGCAGAGCGCTGCAGGCATGCGCATCACAGGGGATGGAAGGACGACAGCGGAGGAGGATACAAGGTTAGAAGGTCGCAAGGAGTGGAGGGCAAGAGTGAAGAATACTGTAAAGAGTCCGCGAGTGTGGTGTGCATGACAGAGGTGAGATGACATGCAGGGAAGGTTGCATGTATGGTTGGATGGATGGGTAGCTGTGGCGACTCACAGCTCCTTGAGCACGAGGGGCGTCTTGATGCCGGCAGTGAAGGAGTCCAGCCGCCCCTGCAGCAGGTTGGACTGCAGGTCGCTGCAGGGCACAGCCACGGGGAGGCGAGCGCACAAGACAAGACACAATGCAGAATAGCACAGTGAATGGCGGACACGGGCAGGAGCAGCCAGGAGCAATGGGCAGATATTGCAATCGCAGGGCACAGGTAGGTGAGAGTGAGAGGTAGATAGAGGAGAGCGCGAGGACTCACAGCGAGGTGAGCGTGTTGAGCTTTGAGATGTCGGAGTGGATGCTGCCCGCCAGCTTTTGGGAACTCAGCACTCTGCAGATTTAGTTGAAACCAACATGGCAGCAGGGAGATGGAAGGGAGCATACATGAGCACTTGAGACAATTTAGGTCCAAATAACATGAAACGACTAACAACAGCGACCGTGCTGCATCAGCAACTTGGCATGTGAGTGCCACAGACACTCATCTGCACGTGCACCCGCATGCCCATCACTTAGCACTCACATGCCCAGCACTTAGCACTCACATGACCAGCACTTTGCACTCACATGCCCAGCACTTTGCCAGAGCCATCGCAGGTGACGCCACTCCACGACCCGGCGGCAACGCCACCAGGCAGGGAGCATGGCGAGTCGGCCTTCCAGTCAGTGAAGGTCACTCCCAGCGACGCCTTGAGGTTCAGCATGGCACCCGCTTGGACCGCGTCCATCGCCACAAACGCCGCGCCCACGCAGATGAGCGGCAGCGTGGGCGACGCTGCACTGTTGGGCGCGCCCAGAGCCACCAGGTCCGTGGCATTCACGGTGCACAGCCCGCCGTTGCACAGGCGGCCCTGTGCGTTGGTGGTGTTGCAGATGGCACATGCCGCAGGAGCCCGAGGGAGCTCGGAGGCGCGGTTGGGGTAGTTGCACTTGGAGGCGTCGAGGAAGCAGTTCATGCGCGCGGCGCAGCGGGAGAGCGTGAGCGCGGGGAAGGTGCCGCCCAGGAAGTTGAACTGCACGTCCACCACTGAGAGCGGGGACGTCACGTTGGGCAGCGCGCCCGTCAGGTAGTTGTAGCCCACCGTGCTGCCCATGGCGCAGTGGGGAGGGGAGGCGAGTGCGCGTGCAAGTGCCCATGGGTTAACCAGGGTGATGGATATATGATCACAACGGAGGAAAAGAATAGGAAAGCGCAGGGGTCGCAGGGTGCAGAGAAGAGGCACTAGACGAAGCAGCTGCGGTGAGTGGTAGGGGCAACAGAGGGGGCGGATGGGGCTTACAGCTCTGAGAGAATGGGGAGGGTGAGCATGAACGCAGGCACAGAGCCGGAGAGCCAGTTGTACGAGAGGTCACTGTGGGGCATGGGGCGTGGGGGAACAGAGGCAGCGCCTCGGGCACCAGTGGGTGAGAGAATGTGAGGGCATGTGAGCGACGTTAGGTGAGAGGGACGGATAGAGCGGAACAAAAGCCAGTACAAGCACATGCATGCTGTGTGACGCCTATGTGCTGGCATGTGCATGCATGCACGCAGACGCGGGTCTAGCGTAGCCGTTGGCACATAAAAGCCATGCGATCATGATTATCACAGCCTCATGCACTTGACAGGACAGCAGCAGCTACGGGGACGCACATGACTCTCAGGCGGGTGAGGAGGCGCAGCTGTGTGGAAACTTCATCCAGGCGGCCCTGCAGGAGGTTGGAGCTCAGGTCGCTGCGGAGAGTGGCAGAGAGCAACGAGAATGCAGTGAGTGGTGTTAAGAAGCGTGGCCGGGCAACAATTGGAAATCTGAACATGCACCCTTGTAGTTATGAGAAATGAGTAAGCGCAAGAAGCCTATGGCAAACAAGGGCAGGCAACATGGCCCGATATGAGAAGCCAAGAAACAGAAGGCATGGAGAGAGAGTGGGCAGGGATCCTGGGGCAGGGATGGAGGCATGGAGGAATGGAGGGGGGCTCACATGGAAGTGAGAAAACTGAGCATGGAGACGGCGAGCGGCAGAGTGCCCGTGAGCTTGCTGTTGGCGAGTTGCCTGGAGGAGTTGGAGGAGGGACGGAAACACATTACAGGGGCTGGTGTGCTCAGTGGCGGGGAGGGAAGGGAGCGGGGAAGATACCCCATTGACATGAATGGGGCAAGAAACAGAATGGGAGAGCCCAAGGCGATGGCAGCACAAGATAGCCAGAGGCAGAGCATTCAGAGGGAAGCGACGTGAGAGCAGGGCAGCGCAGGCGAACTGACAGGCTGACGACTTGGCCTGTGGGATTGCAGAGCACGCCGTTCCACGTGCCGGCGATTTGCGGCGCGGGCGCCACGGTGCAGTAGGTGGTGGGCGCCCACGTGGTGAACGTCACTCCCATCGCACTCTTCAGCGCCCCCAGTGCTTCCGCTGCCATGCACCGTGCAGCAGGGGAGGCAGGGGAGTGGAGGGGGTGGGGCGAAAGCGAGGGAGTGAAGAGGTGAGGTTGGCACATGGGGTTGGGGGAGGCGAGATGATGCATGGTGGAGCATCCATGACACGACTGCACATGGCGAGCTTCGCATGCGTGTGTAATGCAAAAACTTTTAAGCACAGGCAGCATGGCAATGTGAGGCGAAGCACTCTCACCATCAGCGCCGCTGATGTTGGCCACAGGAGCTCCTGCACAAGGCATTCAGAAGCATTCGGGGGCATTGGTATGAGTGGAGAGGTGAATGAGAGCGCGAACCAGCAGAAGGCAGATCGCAGAGAGAATGGGGGCAAGCAGGGGCAAGGAGGACACTGTGGGGTGGGGAGCAGCAGACGGTTCTCCCATAGCGCAGGGAGAAGGGCGGGGAGAGACGCACCAGAGCAGTACATGGGCGGCGGGGCGAGCCCGTCAGGGTGGGCGGCGGTGTCAGTGACGTTGGGCAGGCACATGCCGCCCCAGCACAGCAGCCCTTGCGCCGCTGCGCTGTCGCAGATAGCACAGGCAGCAGCGGCCCTCTGAGTGGTGCTGCTGGCGCCACAGGCGGCGGCGCTGGTCATGCAGTTGAGGCTGGCATCACAAGCGGTGAGGGCGGCCGCTGTGAAGGTGCCGGCCAGGAAGTTGTCGTGCAGGAAGAGCGCTGCCAGCGTAGATGATATGGCGGGAAGCGACCCTGTCAGTGCATTCGCATGCACGTCCCTGGCATGCCAAACGTGGGAGGGTGGATGCGGGGAGAGGAGACGCAGAGGAGAGATGAACGAATGGTGGGTAGCATGCTGAAGGAGGAGCAGGGAAGGAGGGAACATGGACTGCTGCACACTGTGGTTATGGCTTGTGTGTGTGCTTCCATGCACGTGCTACCGTGTGTGTTTGATAGAACTGACTGGAATGGCTAGAGCACTATGGTAAGTGTGCATTTTTTAGGTGACGCTTACAGCAGAGTGAGGGCAGGAAGATTCATGAGGGTCTGAGGCAGGGAGCCCGAGAACCAGTTGTTGTTGAGGCGCCTGGAGGGAGAGGAGAAGGGGAAGCGGGTGAATGGGTGCAAGTGAAGACGGGGAGTTGAATGCACTGCACTGTACTGCATGTACTGGAAGGGCGTGGTGCCGGCAAGCAGTGTGAGGCTGTGTGCATTCGAGGGCATAGCAGAATGATGGCAATGAGAGTGATGGCAACGAGTGAAGGCACAGAGCGAGTCCAGGCGGCACGGTTGAGGGCAGTGCGGGTAACGCAGCGTGGGCGAGAGTGCGGCGACACTGACAGCTGCAGGAGCGCCTTGGAGCCGGGAAAGAAAGAGACGAAGCTTGCAAGGCTGCCGCGCAGCAGGTTCTTGGACAGATCGCTGCAGGGGCAATCAGGAGAGGCAGCAGGGTGGAAGGCATGGGGTGCAAGGGGAGCAGGTGGGGCGGCAGAGATGGGGAGCAGGCAGAGTTGAGGCGGAAGAGGAAGCCTCAGATGCAGCAAATGTGCAAGGTGGGGAGGCAGAAAAGAAAGAAGTGAGGGCGAAAGCTTGCAATCGCAAGCAAGCAAGCAAAGATGTGGGTAAGAGAGAGCTCTCAGCGGGCATTGGAAGGAGCAGCGAACAAGAGGGGTGGAGGGCACTGGCACTGACAGGTAGGTGAGCGTGGTGAGCTTGGTGATGTCAGCATGCATGGTGCCAGCGATGGCGGAGGAGGAGAGGTTGCTGCGCGCAGTGAAATGGGGGAAGGAGAGGGGGGGAGAAGAGAGGGGGGAAAAGGAAACAGGCAATGGGGAGGACAGGGGGAGAAGGGAGGGAAAAGAGAAAGGAAACAAGAAAAGGGAGGAAGGCGAAGAGGGGGAGACAAAAGGTCAGGCATCCAAGAGTGTCGTACCACCGCGGAAAGCAGGAAGCATGCAGAGCAGACGAGATTAAACAGAAGCTTGAAGATGACAGAGTGGTATGCAGTAGCAGGGAGCAGGGATTTCAGAGCAGGGAGCAAGGGGCATGGAGCAGGGGGCAGGGAGCAGGGAGAAGCAAGCGGGGAGATGAGAGGCGGGGGCACTGACACGCTGAGGACGTTGCCAGTGGAGGAGCAGAGCACGCCGGTCCAGGTGCCTCCAATGGTGGTGGAGGAGTTGGCGATGGCGCAGGGCGATGCAGCTGCCCAGCTGGTGAACGTCACTCCCAACGCTGCCTTCACGTTCAGCAGCGCCACCGCTGTGGGCAGCGGAAGGGGGCGAGCAGAGGGAGGGGTGGAACACATGGAAATGAGACTCAAACATGAAAGCAGGAAGAGGATATGTGCAGGTAGGAGAGACGCGGAGCATGGAGGTTGGCGGATTAGAAGCAGAATGAAGGTACTTGTGCACGGGAGTGAAGGATGAGAGGCACGAGGCACGAAGGGTGGGGATTCAAACGTCCATAGCGGCACAGCATGTGAACGCACCTGAGCCTATATCCATTGGTGCGGCTGGATTGTCTGCAATGGCAGAATTAAGAACAGAGAGAGAAAGGGAGAGTGTGAAGGGTGAGGCATGGCAGGAGGCATGAAGAAGTTGAGAGCGATGGGCCAGACGGAGGAACGATCATCAGGCGGATGTGAGGGTAACATTGGAAACCCTGTGCAGAAATGCCTTACAAGAAAAAGAGTTCTGACTTTCAGGCCTTTCAAAACCCAGTCGTTCGCACCACACACACCCACTTGTATGCAGTGCACCACACAAGTTGGCATCTTACATGAAGGTACGTATACGTTTCCGTTACGTATATATACGTGGTTTAAAAAACGAGTTCAGTTCACGTTTACAGTCAGCCAAAAAAACAGGCTGATGAAAAGGTATATATATATATATATAAAGATAAGCATGTCCTAGGCGGTTTCAAATCCATTGTTCGCAAACATTAGAAATGAGGGGGTATAATTGTTGAGACCAACAAAAATCAACACCATTAAAATGTTGTTTTACTAATGCACAATACACAAAGGCGTTTCCAGTTGTAAGCGCCTTGGTTTTGGACAACTCGCCAATTCCGCAAACACTTTCCCGACGTGTTTCGCACATTCGCTAGCGCACTTCGCTGGGCAGGCCACGCAGCAACCTGTGGGCGGCCTCCTGTTACCCCACACCACAAGCCTTCAACCCCCTCCCACTTACCGTACCCTCCCCTCCACCTTTACCTTACCCTTCCCATTTACCAACAATCCCGCGACGATGTTATCTGCCAAGTTTCCTCCTGGCGTACATGAATAGGCACCACCGAAGTGCCAAACCGATTTCGACACGTACTCGTATTAGGCCGTGGTACAATAGTAAAAATGTTGGGAAAATGAGCATGGGCCCATCGCGCAGTGACATTGAGCCTCGACAAACAACATTGAGCTTGCATCAAACCTCGCTCAACGATTTTGACGAATCCGGCATGCACGCTGTGGGAATGTGGATACATGGCTACTAGAGCACTCGTACGGAGTAGTTTTTTTCCCGATTCGCGAACTTAATGCGAAGTTACCGGACAGGAATTTTCGTACTCCTCGCATCGAGCCTGTGCTCGAGCTTGGGGCTCAACGCGGAAACTCAATATTCGGAAATCGGGCTTCCATATTTTCCGATGAGAAATTCGAGTTCCCTACATTTATTGGCTAGGCTCGAGCCTGAAGCATCGATATTCGAGCCAAATGTACCATGGCCTTAGGGCTTTCGAAAACGTTGTAGACCTGAGGCTCCGAGTGCCACGGTGTCTTCCACTTCAGGTCGAATGTACCTACGTTTTTCTTCGGTCTCGATCTTTTGTATGCCTGCGTGTACTGATTTACGCAAACTTACGCGCACGCAAACACGTAAACGTAAACTTACACGTAAGTAGTTAACGTTCACGCAACAGGCAGGAACGTAGGCAACCCACCTTTGTGCGGCACCCACCTGCGCATGCCATGGGCAGAATTGGCTGATTTGGCGAATTGACAGTGCCGGCGCTGACGGCAGCAGCGGCGCTGGGAGCGCAGGAGCCGCCAAAGCAGAGGTCGCCCTGGCCGGCCGCGGTGCCGCAGATGGCGCAGGCGCCGGCAGGGCGCTGCACGATGCCGTAGGTGCGGCAGGCGGTGGAGTTGAGGAAGCAGTTGTTGTCGCCCGCACAGAACATGAGCGGCAGCTTCGGGAAGGTGCCCGAGAGGAAGTTAAAGCCCACGTCCAGCGCCAGCAGGGCCTTGGAGGGGATGGGAACGGTGCCCGTGAGGTAGTTTGAGAAGAGGCCGCTGCAGGTGGGAGAAGGGAAGGGATGGGGGAGGAAATGGTTTTGGGGGAAGTAAAAGTGGACAGGAGGAGTGGTGGATTAGGGGCGGATGGGGTAGGGAAAGTACGTTGTCGCGAATGGGGAGCGAGCGGGATGTGGGTGGTAACCGTGAGGGCTTACAGTGAGGTGAGCTGAGGCAGCGTGGAGAAGACGGAAGGAATGGAGCCGGCGAAGTAGTTGTAGTGGAAGAAGCTGAGATGGAGGGGAGGAGGCATGTGGGCACGAAGAAACGGATGGGAGGGGGGTGCCATGACGTTGCGAGCAAGAGAGGAGCTATCACGTTGCGAACAAGAGAGGTGCTATCACGTTGCGAACAAGAGAGGTGCTATCACGTCCCAAACAAGAGAGGTGCTATCACGTTGCGAACAAGAGAGGTGCTATCACGTTGCGAACAAGAGAGGTGCTATCACGTTGCGAACAAGAGAGGTGCTATCACGTTGCGAACAAGAGAGGTGCTATCACGTTGCGAACAAGAGAGGTGCTATCACGTTGCGAACAAGAGAGGTGCTATCACGTCGCAAACAAGAGAGGTGCTATCACGTTGCGAACAAGAGAGGTGCTATCACGTTGCGAACAAGAGAGGAGCTAGAGGTGCTATCACGTTGCGAACAAGAGAGGTGCTATCACGTTGCGAACAAGAGAGGTGCTATGACGTTGCAAACAAGAGAGGTGCTATCACGTTGCGAAACAAGAGAGGTGCTATCACGTTGCGAACAAGAGAGGTGCTATCACGTTGCGAACAAGAGAGGTGCTATCACGTTGCGAACAAGAGAGGTGCTATCACGTTGCGAGCAAGAGAGGTGCTATCACGTTGCGAACAAGAGAGGTGCTATCACGTTGCGAGCAAGAGAGGTGCTATCACGTTGCGAACAAGAGAGGTGCTATCACGTTGCGAGCAAGAGAGGTGCTATCACGTTGCGAACAAGAGAGGTGCTATCACGTTGCGAGAGGAATGACACAAGCTGTCGAATAAAGGAGGCCAGCTGCAGCATGTGCCATCCAGGCTGAATCAGCGAGGCCCAGCACGCACTGTGCAGCATAACGAGTCATGGGTAGAGGAGGAGGAGCAGGTGGAAACGGTGCGAGGAAAGGGGGTCGTACAGCGCCTTGAGGGTGGTGAGGGGCTTGAGCGGTGCGGCAAAGAGGTCCAGACGGCCCTGGAAGAGGTTGTAGCCCAATTCACTGCGGCAGGGAGGGGGGCAGGGAAGGGGGGGGGGGGGAGGAAGGGGACAGAGGGGGAGAGGGAGCAGTGCAGATGGGCCTCGCAGCACAAACAGATAGGGAGAATGGTGGTGGTGGGCAGCACAAATGGATAGCTCCCTGACATGCGAAGGCGGTACGTGAGTATGGTGTGCGGTGGGCACCCTACACAACACCTCCATGGGCTTGCAGGTGAATGTGCGTGGTGTGGTGGGCTTACAGGTAAGTGAGTGTGGTGAGCTTGGAAATGTCGGGATGAATGGAGCCCTGCAGCTGCTGCCGTGTGAGCGCACTGCACGGCAACGAGGGGGGTTGTGGGGGGCGGAGAGGCAGGTAGGTATGAGCACAAGCCGGCCTTGGCCCAAGGTGTGCGCACCCAAGGAGTATATCTTTGAGGCGCCTCAAAACTATGCATCCAAGGAGAGCAGCGCGAGCTGTTAGGAAAGGGACGAACGAAGGGATGAAAGGGCATGCAGGTTGCTGAAGCATCCTTTTACTTCAAATGCTGCAACATGCGACTCGGCCGCATGGCCGCCGCCGAAACGCGGCTCAGACCGGTTCGGGCCAGTTCAGGACGGGCCGGCCAGCCCGGGGAAATGAAGTGAGGGGGGAGGTAAATCAGTGGGAGGAAGTGTGCGAATGGTGGCTTAGGGAGAGGCAAGAGCAGCTCCAGCACCCACGTAGCACATGCGCCCTCTCCCTCTTGCATGCTGCACCCCACCCACTCCCTCCTCCATGCAACACCCCACCCACTCCCTCCTCCATGCAACACCCCACCCACTCCCTCCTCCATGCAACACCCCACCCACTCCCTCCTCCATGCAGCACCCCCCACTCCCTCCTCCATGCAGCACCCCACCCACTCCCTCCTCCATGCTGCACCCATTGGCACCTACGCCTGGCCAGCCATCCCCGCACTCACATGCTCAGCACTTTGCCTGCAGCGGTACAGCGCACGCCGCCCCACTGCGCGGGCAGCAGCGTCTGCCCCTCCAGCGTGCACGGCGCAGCTGCGTTCCAGTTGCTCAGCGTCACGCCCAGCGACGACTTGAGCGCCAGCAGCACCACCGCTGGTGGGGCAGGGGGGCCGGACGTAAGGAGAAGAGGGAAAAACCGGGTTTAGGAAATGGCAGTGTGCATGGGGTTGAACAGAGGCGAGAGAGTGGGTGAGAAATTAGCGGGGTAAAGTGGAGCACGTGGGAGGAGGCAACTGCATGTGAGTGCGGGGTGCCTGTGAGTGGGGGGTGCCTGCGAGTGCGGGCGAATCTCAGTGCGTGGCTGCTGCATGCGCTCACCGTCAGCAGCATCGATGGGGATGCCACTGCAGGCCATGGCCAGATTGGGCGAGTTTGGAAGATTGGGCGTCCCCAGCGCGGCCGCAGCAGCAGAGTCGACCGAGCACGTGCCGGTGCCACCACAGAAGGGCGGCTGGCCATTAGTGGAGCCGCAGATGGCACAGTCTGCTGCGGGGCGCTGGGTGACGTCGGTGGTGGCGCAGACGGAGGTAGTGGGGAAGCAGTTGTACTGGGCGGTACACGTGTCGAGGCTCATGCTTCCCATGGCGTAGATGAAGTTGCTGCGTATATCTAGATCGCTCAGGCTGTTTGATGCTGGGAAGCTGCCCGTGAGGTAGTTGTAGCTCAGATCACTGCCGGAGGCGCAATGCGGCAGCGGGAAAGGAGATTGGGGGGGCAGGTGTAGGGGGAGGGTGCGATTTGAGGTGAGCTGTTGTGCGTGGATGTGAGAGAATGTGCGGCAGGGCAGGAAGGCAGTGCTTGGTTATGAGAGACATGGTAGGCAGGTGAATCTTGTGAAGCCGCGTGGGCAATACAGTGTGAGAGCAAGTGATGAATGGGGGTGCGGGCTTACAGCATGAAGAGTGTGGGCAAATTGACGAGTGTGGACGGCACAGGACCGAAGAGCCAGTTGCTCTGCAGTTGGCTGCAGGGGGGGGGGGGGGTGGGCGGGTGGGGAGGGAAGGAAGAAGGGGAGGGGAGGGGAGGGGGAACAGGGGGGGAGGGAGGGGGGGTGAGAGGATAGGGTTGGGGTGTTTCAGGGGAGTGAAAGGTGGAACAGGGCAGTGTGAAGGAGACGTGTGAGGCAGACGTGTGAGGGAGGCTGGAAGAGAAGGGAGAAGAGGGCAGCAAAGAGAGGGCATGATGCAAGGGGGGAAGGATGGGAAGGCAGCAAGGGAGGCAGCATAGGAAATCACAGGCAGAAAGCGGGTGCGGGCCCATGTGGCTACCAAGACTCACAGATGCTGGAGGCTGGTGAGTGTGAGAAGGTTGGAGGTGAAGGCAGCGAGGGGCGCCTGGAAGAGCTGCCTCGAGAGGGACCTGCAGGAGGGGCGCACACAGCAAGGCGAGAGGGCGCACACAGCAAGGCGAAAGGGTGACAAGGAATGGCGAAGGCGAAGTGACCAATAGCAGGTATGAGGAGAGAAAGGGTTGCTTGGTACTGAGGTGGAAGCCTAAACAGGAGGAGCCTCGGTGCAGAGGGTTGCATCACGGGTAGGTGAGGAGTGAGGTGCACTCACAGGTAGGAGAGGAAACTGAGCTTGGAGATGGCAGCAGGGATGCTTCCTGTGAGCCCCGAGTTGCTCAACACTCTGCCATGCAGAAACAGCAGGTAGGGAGAGTAAGAAGCAGTCGGGCCTTGGCAGGTTGCACGGGAACCCTTGATACGCCTTCCCACATACTCAACTGCGACTAGAACCTTGACGCCCCACAACGTAGCAGCCCCACCCTGCCCAGCTAGCAGCGCTGCCAGTGACACCTTGAACACGCAGCACTGCCTGCCACACCACCCCAAGCGTCACACTCACATGTTCACGACGTTGCCCATGAAGTCACAGCGCACGCCGGTCCACGTGGGCACCGACGACGGCGTTGCATCCTCCGTCAGGCACGGCACAGAGGCCGCCCAGCTGTTGAACGTCACTCCCAGCGACGACTTGAGCGCCAGCATGGCTGAATCATGGCAATGAAGGACGGGAGGGGGGGAGGGGAGGGGGAGGGGGGAGATGGGGCAACGAGTGGGGGTAAGGCGGGTGAGACAAGGCTTGAGCGCGCACGGCACGGCACAGAGGCCGCCCAACTGTTGAACGTCACTCCCAGCGACGACTTGAGTGCCAGCATGGCTGGTGGGGACGGCGGATGGGGGGGGCGGGCGGATACAGGAATCGCCGGGCGGGTAAGGCAAGGCGAATGGTAGCAAGCTATGGCGTGAGGCTAGGAACTGCATGAGGGAGCAGGGAAGAGGAAGCAGGGCAGAGGAAGCAGAAGAGGTGAGAATCACAGGCCAGTCAGAGGTCCTTGCAACAAGGCAGGCTCAAACAGGCTCCCACAATCCAGTGCCCACGACTCACCGTCAGTATTCTGCATTTCCACCAGGGACCCGCCCATGCACGCCCTGGACAACACAGGCTGCGATGGTGAGTTCACCGGGGCTCCATCAGGCACAAGCACCTCGCACACTCCTCCCGCCCCCCAGCAGTAGGGCCCCACGCCATTGGTGGTGCCGCAGAAGGCACAATCAGCAGCAGCCCTCTGGGCGGTGCCGGTGGTGGCGCACTTGGAGGGCGTGAGCAGGCAGTTGTTTGCGCCGCCACACCATGTGTAGTTCACTGCTGGCAGATCCGTGAGGAAGTTTCCTCGCAGATCAATGCTGCGCAGCCCCGACGCGAGCGCCGGCACGGAGCCCATGAAGTAGTTGTATACAGCACCGCTGGCGAATGGGGAGGGCGGCGAGGGGGCAAATGCACAGAGGGATTTATAAGAAGTTAGATGACAGGAGCACTGGGAAGGAGATAGAATTGGCGTACATACGTAAAGCAGCATGCAGCCACCAAGCGCGGGCCTTTATATCAGACTTACAACTGAGTCAGTTTTGGGAGGCCCACAAGGAATGAGGGGATGTCTCCGAACAAGTAGTTGTAGTGCAGGCGGCTGCAAGAGGAGCAGAGACGATGGGGGTGGTGATGAGATGAGTGGTGGCGATGAAATGAGTGGCGGCATGAGGAACGGAGGGTGGAAGATTGAGAAACGGAGTGGGTGAAAAGTTGAGGGGAGACAGAACACCAGGATCATTCGCCTGCTCTCGCTCCGGCACTCACATGCCGGCCAGCAGCACTCACATGCCGGCCAGCAGCACTCACATGCCGGCCAGCAGCACTCACATGCCGGCCAGCAGCACTCACATGCCGGCCAGCAGCACTCACATGCCGGCCAGCAGCACTCACATGGCGGCAAGCAGCACTCACATGCCGGCCAGCAGCACTCACATGCTGGCCAGCAGCACTCACATGCCGGCCAGCAGCACTCACATGTCGGCCAGCAGCACTCACATGCCGGCCAGCAGCACTGACATGCCGGCCAGCAGCACTGACATGCCGGCCAGCAGCACTCACATGCCGGCCAGCAGCACTCACATGCTGGCCAGCAGCACTCACATGCCGGCCAGCAGCACTCACATGCCGGCCAGCAGCACTCACATGCCGGCCAGCAGCACTCACATGGCGGCAAGCAGCACTCACATGCCGGCCAGCAGCACTCACATGCCGGCCAGCAGCACTCACATGTCGGCCAGCACTGGCAGGAAACGAAGAGAAGTCGTGAAGAAATCGAGGCGGTAGTTGAGCAAATTGCCTTGAAGGTTGCTGCGAGAGGGGAGTAGAGAGAGAAGGCGGTTAGTGCCTCAGCACCTTGGCTCGACCGAATGCAATGCACCTTGGTTTGACTAAATGCAATGCAGTCTGGCTCGACTGAATGCAATGCCGCTTGGCCACATTATGGATTGGGAGGGCATCCATTGCACGCTGCCGTGACGAGATAGGAAAGAGAAAGCAAAGCAGCCAATATGACAGCAAAGAGCATTTTCATCACCAAGCCGATGAGAAGACGACGATTACAGACACAGCTTACAGGAGGGTGAGAGCAGTGAGCGTGGAGATGTCTGTCGGTAGCGAGCCATAGAGTTTTGCACTGCTCACCGCTCTGATGTGCTCAGGGAACAGATGGTGGAGAATTGATGGAGGGAACATGCAAGGGTGGGTTGGGAGGATGATTGTGATGTGCAGATGTATGGCAGGCAAATTATGGAAGTGGCGTGACAGTTCCAGATCATTCACGCGATTGACAAGGTGCCACACATGCCCTTGCTGATGATTCTCACTCACATGCCATGGTGACATGCATGAACCTCTGGCAATGTGTCGTCATTTATCTTCTCGGGCCCATTGAGAAGCCTTCACACCACACATGTCAGCTGATATGCATACCATGATTTACTCGCCCAACATGCCGACTCACATGCCCACGACACTGCCATTGCCGTCACAGGACACGCCGCTCCAGACTGTCGCCGTGGTGGTCGACCCCGCTTGTTTGCACGGCGTAGTGGCATCCCACGTGGTGAAAGTGACTCCCAGCGACGACTTGAGGGCGAGCATGGCTGGTGCGGGCATGCGGGGAGTGGGGCAACAGGGCAAGCAGCGAGCGGTGGGTGGACGCCCCTCAAGGAGCACGTGAGCAGGAGGGGGAGACGCTGTGGCCCCAAGGTGCAGTGGATGTGGATGCACGGGATCTGTGGACTCTGCACCAAAAAGCACAGTCCCAGTGCTAGTATAAGGCAACACCACCACACACCTTCCCAACCCGCCCATGCCCATACGCCCATGTGCTTGTGCCATGTGTGATTAACCCACACAACCGGTGCCTCTCAACCCTTCTACCTACAAGAGAAGCACAAACAGGCTATGGGAACACTAGCAGAGAAATGCCCAGTGCGCACTGCCCACTTCCCACTGCCCACTGCCCGCTGCCCGTTGCCCAGTGCCCAGTGCCAACGGCCCACTGCCCAGTGCCCACGGCCCACTGCCCACCTGCAGTTTCTTTGACGAGCACGAGCGGCACGAAGCACGCCAGGGGCAGCAAGGGCTGTGAGAACGAGTTCAGAGTGCCGGCATCCACGTTTGCAGCCGCGTCAAGCGTGCACGTTCCTCCTGTGGAAGCGCAGTAGGGCCCCACACCGTTGGTGGTGCCGCAGACGGCACAATCAGCAGCAGCCCTCTGGGTGGTGCCGGAGCTGGAGCACTTGGAGGGCGTGAGCAGGCAGTTGTTGCTGCCGCCGCAGTACGAGTAAGTGACTGCTGGGAGGTCTGTGAGGAAGTTGTTTCGCAGGTCTAGGGTGCGCAGCCCGCTGGCGAGCACAGGCAAGGAGCCCGTGAGGTAGTTGGCGACCGCGCCGCTGGCAAGAGAACACAGCGATGGGGGAGGAGAGGGGGGGGGGAGGGGGGGGAGGCAGCGTGTGCAGTGAGGAGGCGGGACGGGAGGGCGAGGGAGAAGGAAGTGGTATGCTGGCAGGCAGGCAGGCAGTTCGTCTCTTTACGGACTTACAGTCCAGTCAGTTTTGGGAGGGCCACGAGGAACGAGGGGATGTCTCCAAACAAGTAGTTGTAGTGCAGGCGGCTGCGAGAGGAGAAGAGACGACGAGGGCGAAAAGTAGAGAAGGCGATGAGATGAGAGGCAGCATGTGGAAGGACGGTGGAGGCACGCGAAGAGGAAAGAATCTTGGGCAGGCATGAATGGAAGCCAAGTCGGAAGATTGGGAGAGAAAGGGAATGGCAGCAAAGCTGAGGCAAGAGAAGATGCACGCATCACTCTGCTGTGCTTACCCCTCACACTGCCACTCACAGGTCGGCCAGCAGCGGCAATGATCGGAGGTGAGTGGTGAAGGAATCGAGGGGGTAGTTGAGGAGATTGCTCTGCAGGGAGCTGCGGGAGGCGAGCAGAGCGGGAGAGCAGAGAGGGAAGGCGGCAACACCGTTGCACTTATGGAGGTGGTTTGGGCCTATGGAACTGGGGGGGCAGGCCTCAACCAACCCTCGTTGGGCCACCTTGGGGCAACCTTCTTGACAGGGCAGAGCCACGGCCGCCTCAAAACTCTGGCGTGTGGCTTGGCCAGTATAGGCGGGCCTTATGAGGCCCAGCCGAGGGCACTCAAGGCCCAACTTTTGTGAGACCACGTTCGGATTATATTAATTAAAAAAACACACACACACACAAAAAGTCGAAGAAAAACGTTTGCTCAACCCTCTAGGACACACAAAAAAAAATCTCGACAGCAGACGTCAGTCGAGAAAGCCAAGACAAGACCGCCAACAACAGAACAGCGCATGAAGCGTTCCCGCTCAATATAATGCAGACCATCTAGCAGCACATTGCAGAGGAACTCACAGGTAGGTGAGAGCTGTGAGCATAGAGACGTCCGATGAAATATAGCCCTTGAGTTTTGCGTTGAGCAGCGTTCTGAGGTGCTCAGGGAACAATAGGTGGCGAAGTGTTGGGAAGACACACGCAACGCAACGGCAGATGGGCAGATTTATATGATGGCATGCAGAGCGTAGCAGGAAAATGATGGAGGCGGTGTAACAGAGGTCAGTTGGAAGAGTGAGAGCTCATGCCCTTGCTGATGATGCTCGATCACACTGGCACCTGGGGATGAGAACCAGGCTGACAAGGCTTTGGCCACGCATGTCAACTTATTTGTTCGTCATGTTTCACTTCAGAAGGATGCCAATCACACTGACTCACATGCTCACGACAGTGCCATTGCTGTCACAGAGCACGCCGTTCCAGACTGTCACCGTGGTGGTCTGCCCCTTGAGTTGGCACGGCACACTGGCCGCCCAGGTGGTGAAAGTGACGCCGAGCGACGCCTTGAGGCCGAGCATGGCTGGTGAGGGGCACGCCGGGGAAAGGGGTGACAAGGCAAGCAGCGGAAGGTGGGGTAACGCCCTATCGAGCAACCAATGGGTGACGCTGCACGGGGAAGCACAATCCAAAGCGGCCCAGTGCATCAGACTGCTAAACACACCTTCTCACCCATGTCCATATGCCCATGTCCATGTGCCCATGTCCATGTGCCCATGCCCACATGCCTGTGCCTGTGCATGATTCCGCCACACCCCGCACTGCCCACTGCCCACCGCCCACTGCCCACCTGTGCTGTCCTTCATGCCCACCACAGATCCGCCCACGCACGCCCTGCTCAGCGGGGCCTGCGTCTTCGAGCTCACAGTCCCCGCAGCCACGGCTGCAGCCGCGTCCACAGTGCACACACCTCCCGCCCCCCAGCAGAGCGGGGGCACGCCGTTGGTGCTGCCGCAGAAGGCACAATCCGCCGCAGCCCTTTGAGGGGAGCCATCTGAGGCGCACTTGGAGGGCGTGAGCAGGCAGTTGCCGTTGCCGCCGCACCACGAGTAGGTGACTGCTGGCAGGTCCGTGAGGAAGTTGAATCGCACGTCTACCGTGCGCAGCCCGGTGGCCAGCGCAGGCACAGAGCCCATGAGGTAGTTGGCGGCGGCACCACTGGCGGGAGAGAGCAGCGCGAGGGGGGAGTGAAGGCGGCATGCAGAGTGAGTAGACGGGACGGGAGGGCGAGGGTGAAAGAAGTGGCATGCATGCACGCAGGCAGTCAGGCAGGCATGCAGGCACGCAGGCACACAGACAGGCAGGCAAGCAGGCAGGCACGCATGCACGCAAGCAGGCAGGCAGGCAGGCACTCAGGCACTCAGGCAGGCACGCACGCACGCAGGCTCGCAAGCAGGCAAGCACTCAGGCACTCAGGCAGGCAGGCAGGCACGCACGCACGTAGGCACACAAGCAGGCAGGCAGGCAGGCACTCATGCAGGCAGGCACGCACGCAGGCTCGCAAGCAGGCAGGCAGACAGTAGGGGCTTTCACGGACTTACAACAGAGTCAGTTTTGGGAGGCCCACGAGGAATGAGGGAATTTCACCGTACAAGTAGTTGTAGTGCAGCCGGCTGCAAGAGGAGCAGAGACGATGAGGCAGGTGATGAGATGAGGTGAGACAGCACGACGTTGACATGAACAGAAACGGAGGTGCCAAGATTGAGAGGAAGCAAAGCAGAGGCACGAAAAATGCATCACCCCTGGCCACACTCTGGCAATCACAGGCGGCTGGCCGTGGCACTCACAGATCAACCATCAACGGCAAGGCTCCAAGGTTAGTGGTGAAGGAATCGAGGCGGTAGTTGAGGAGGTTGCTCTGCAGGGAGCTGCCAAGGGGGGCGAGTAGATTGTGAAGGAGGCAGGTCGTTGCTCTTGAACCTAGACCTTGAACCTAGAATGCATGCATCATGGCCTAGATTTGATGTCTCCAATAACCAATTCTAGGTAATTGAAGGCGGTTATTTCATTTAGGCGAGGTAGGAGAGGCGCAGGAACCGATACAACAGGCAGCAGTGGCATTGCAAAGCGGATAAGAAACACCATGAGCGGACAACATGGATAAGAACGACTGTGGACGGATAACGCAAATAAGAACAGCCGGAACACAGCAAACGCTAAACTCACAGGGAGGTGAGAGCTGTGAGCGTGGAAATATCCGCATGAAGTGAGCCCTTGAGGCTTGAGGACGTCAAAACTCTGATGCAAGGAACAGTTGGTGGGAGGGTGTTGGAGGGCACGCAAGGGTGGGTGGACACATGAATATGATGTGCAAATATATGGCAGGTAGATGATGGGAGCGGGCTCACAGTGGCCAAAGGATGCACGGAAGCAAAGCGATGGAAGCACGAGGAAGACTGAAATCGCCTTCATGTGAGCGAAGCAGAGGTGTGGGAGAGGCGGAGGTGTGGGTGAGGCGGAGGTGTGGGTGAGGCGGAGGTGTGGGTGAGGCGGAGGTGTGGGTGAGGCGGAGGTGTGGGTGAGGCGGCGCTGTGCACTCACATGTCGGACACCTTGCCGGCTTCCGTGCAGAAGACGCCAGTCCACTCGCCCGCAATGGCCACGGGGGCCTTGGTCAAGCGGCACGGTGCAGTGGCCGTCCACGTGGTCAAGGTCACACCCAGCGCAGTCTTGATGTTCTGCATCGCGGCAGCTGTGGGGTTTGGGGGTTTGGCACGGGGAATGGGGAGAGGAAGGGGAGACGGAACAGTATTAGCAGCGCACAGGGAACTTGAGGACAGAGGGGGTGATGGAGCAAAAAGCGCTAAGGGTGTTGTGTGTGCTGAGGGATGGGAAGGTGAGTTCTGGATAGGACGATTAGGAAGGGAGGGGAGGAGCCACTGACCGTCAGAGGCAGTCATGTTGATGATCTTGTTAACGCACGCCAGGGCCACTTCACTTCCATAGTTATTCTGCTTCGCCCCAATCTTGGCATCAGCGTCCGGCAAGCACGTCTGCCCCAATCCGCACAGCGTGCCCGTGCCATCAGTGGTGCCACAGATACCGCACGCGCTCCTCTGCCCGTTGTTCTGGCAGTTGCCGGCGCTTGCAAGGCAGTTTCTGGTGACTGAGTAGGAGGTCCAGGTGCCGGAGGGCAGCGAGCCCACGAAGTAGTTCTGTGTGAGGTCGAGCGACCCGATCTTGGTGATGCCCGCTGGGAGCGTGCCTGTGAGGTAGTTGTAACGCAACGCCCTGTGGATCAGGGCGACACACATAGGTTGAGAGGGTTCATTGAAAGCGAGGAGTCAAGGTAGAGAACAACAACAGACTCAGAGTCTTGTGTGGACTGGGAGGGGATTCGAGCACGAGGGGCGGGGGGAAGGGGGGGAAAGAGGTAAGGAGAAAATGGAGCGAGCGAGGGAGGGAGGTAGAGAGACGCCAATATCCGGAGAGACACACGAGGCATGGCCAGTGGGAACTTACAGATTCGTGAGGCTGGGCAGACTCATGAGCACGCTTGGGAACGACCCGGAGAAGAACATGTACTGCATGCCCCTGGCAGAGGGAGGGCGACATGGACGGAAAACGACAAGGCAGAACGTTGAGAGGTTGAGTGACACTATGTAGCCGGAGCTGTAGCCCTCAAGGTGGCTCGCAGCTACACCACCCGTACATGCTTTCTTGCGGAACATTCGATGCGTGACACCCACAAGAATTCGTGTCATTCTTACAACGCCTTCAAGTTGGTGAGCGCAGAGAAGTCTTCGAGGTAGTTTTTGAGGCTGCCGTCGAGGAAGTTCCACGGCATCCACCTGCAGGGAGGAGCACGCAGACACGACTGCAGTCAGCACACAAACGCAGCACGCACGCAAGCACTCCACCACAGCTTCCACACGCATGCGCAGCGTGGAGTGCCGTGCACGGCAGCGATCGAATGAGCACCTGAGTCCGGATCATGCACAGCACAGCCGCAAAGGATAACACTTGGGGAGTATCAGCAACCAAGGGCAGTTGTGGCGAATGAGTACTTACAAGCCGGTAATAGCTGTGAGCTTGGTGATGTCGGAGGGGAAGCTCTTGCGCACGAGTGCCGCAGAGTCCAGATTGCTGCGCACATCCATGCACACGTGCAGGGGGCGCAGGAAACGATGAGACAGCGCGTGAGAGCATAGATAGACTGCCTACCCTCACACCCTGCCTTGCCACCTGCACTCACATCGTGGCGATGCGGCCTTGAGAGGTGCAGCTCACGCGCTCCCACTCGCCAGTTTTGGCCGGATCGTCGAGCAAACGGCAGGGGTTGGAGGACGCCCACGTGGTGTAGGTGAGCCCCATGGCCGACTTGATGGTTTGCAGGACCGCGGCTGATGGGCACCAAGGGGAGGGCAGAGGGAAAAGAAGGCGGACGAGACAGGGTACAAGGAGGGAAGGACACATTGGCGGTGGCCCACGTGGTGGCGGTGAGCCCCATGGCCAACTTGATGCTCAGAAGAACCGCTGCTGATGGGCGTGGCAGAAGGGGGAGGGGAGGGGGATGAAAGGTAGGGAAGTGTAGAGTGGGAACAGGAGGGGATGGAGGGAGGGGTGGAAAGGGAGGGGTGGAAGGGGAACAGCAGGGGAAGGGGGGAGGGGAGGGCCAGGGGGGGGAGAGGTAACACTACTAGCAAAGACGACGGAGCTGCATGTGAGCGACCAGCGGGGAGAAATGGGAACGGTGAAGGTGATGAAGTAAGGGGGGTACGCACCATCTGCTGCATCCACGAAGATATACCCGCCCACGCACGTCCTAGCGATCACGGGCTGTGAGAACGAGTTTAGAGTGCCGGCAGCCACGTTTGTAGCCGCGTCAACCGTGCACACTCCTCCCGTTGTAGGGCATAAGGGCCCCGCGCCATTGGTGGTGCCGCAGAAGGCACAATCGGCAGCAGCCCTCTGAACGGAGCCGGCGCTGGAGCACTTGGAGGGAGTGAGCAGGCAGTTGTTGTTGCCGCCACAGTACGTGTAGGTGACTGCTGGCACGTCCGTGATGAAGTTGAATCGCAGATCGATGCTGCGCAGCCCGGTGGCGACCGCCGGCACGGAGCCCGTGAAGTAGTTGGCGACAGCGCCACTGGCGAGAGAACACAGCGATGGGGGGAGTGAAGGTGGCATGCGCACTGAGGAGACGGGACGGGAGGGCGAGGGAGAAGGAAGTGGCATGCCAGCAAGAAGGCATATAGTTCATCACTTACAAACTTACAATTCAGTCAGTTTTGGGAGGCCCACGAGGAACGAGGGGATGTCTCCGAACAAGTAGTTGTAGTGCAGGCGGCTGCGAGAGGAGCAGTGACGACGAGGGCGGAAAGTAGTGGAGGCGATGAGATGAGAGGCAGCATGTGGAAGGCAATGAGATGAGAGGCAGCATGTGGAAGGCAATGAGATGAGAGGCAGCATGTGGAAGGCAATGAGATGAGAGGCAGCATGTGGAAGGCAATGAGATGAGAGGCAGCATGTGGAAGGCAATGAGATGAGAGGCAGCATGTGGAAGGCAATGAGATGAGAGGCAGCATGTGGAAGGCAATGAGATGAGAGGCAGCATGTGGAAGGCAATGAGATGAGAGGCAGCATGTGGAAGGCAATGAGATGAGAGGCAGCATGTGGAAGGACGGTGGAGGCATGCGAAGAGGAAAGAAACTTGGGCAGGCATGAATGGAAGCCAAGTCAGAAGATTGGGAGAGAAAGGGAATGGCTGCAAAGCTGAGGCAAGAGAAGATGCACGCATCACTCTGCTGTGCTTACCCCTCACACTGCCACTCACAGGTCAGCCAGCAGCGGCAATGATCGGAGGTGAGTGGTGAAGGAATCGAGGCGGTAGTTGAGGAGATTGCTCTGCAGGGAGCTGCGGGGGGCGAGCAGAGCGGGAGAGCAGAGAGGGAAGGCGACAACACCGTTGCACTTATGGAGGTGGTTTGGGCCTATGGAGCTGGGGGGGCAGGCCTCAAACAACCCTCGTTGGGCCACCTTGGGGCAACCTTCTTGACAGGGCAGAGCCACAGCCGCCTCAAAACTCTGGCTTGTGGCTTGGCTAATATAGGCGGGCCTCATGAGGCCCAGCCAAGGGCACTCGAGGCCCAAGTTTGGTGGGGGACCACGTTCAGATTAGTAAAAAAAAAAAAAAAAAAAAAAAAAAAAAAAAAACCAGTTCGCTCAACACTCTATAAAGCAAAAAAAAATCACGACAGCAGGCATCAATTGAGAAAGCCAAGACGAGGCCGGCAACAGCGCACGAAGCATTCCCGCTCAATATAATGCAGACAATCTGGCAGAAAATTGCAGAGGAACTCACAGGAAGGTGAGAGCTGTGAGCATAGAGACGTCCGATGAAATATAGCCCTTCAATTTTGCGCTTTGCAGCGTTCTGAGGTGCTCAGGGAACAACACGTGGCGAAGTGTTGGGAAGAGACACGCAACGCAATGGCAGATGGGCAGATTAGTATGATAGCGTGCGGTGGAGAGCGTAGCAGGAAAATGATGGAGGCGGTGTAATAGAGGTCAGTTGGAAGAGTGAGAGCTCATGCCCTTGCTGAAGACGCTCACTCATGCTGCCACCGGGGAATGTGAACCAGGCTGACAAGGCTTTTGGCACGCATGTCTGCTGATCTGTTTGCCGTGTTTCACTTCAGAAGGATGCCAATCACACTGACTCACATGCTCACGACAGTGCCATTGCTGTCACAGAGCACGCCGTTCCAGACTGTCACCGTGGTGGTCTGCCCCTTGAGTTGGCACGGCACACTGGCCGCCCAGGTGGTGAAAGTGACGCCGAGCGACGCCTTGAGGCCGAGCATGGCTGGTGAGGGGCACACCAGGGAAAGCGGTGACAAGGCAAGCAACGGAAGGTGGGGTAACGCCATGTGGAGCAACCAATGGGTGACGCTGCACAGGGAAGCACAATCCAAAGCGGCCCAGTGCGTCAGACTGCTAAACACACCTTCTCACCATGTCCATATGCCCATATCCATGTGCCTATGTCCAATTGCCCATGTCCAATTGCCCATGTCCACTTGCCCATGTCCATGTGCCCATGTCCATGTGCACATCTCCATGTGCCCATCTCCATGTGCCCATCTCCATGTGCCCATCTCCATGTGCTCATGTCCATGTGCCCATGTCCATATGCCCATCTCCATGTGCCCATCTCCATGTGCCCATGTCCATATGCCCATCTCCATGTGCCCATGTCCATATGCCCATCTCCATAAGCCCATGTCCATAAGCCCATGTCCGTAAGCCCATGTCCATAAGCCCATGTCCATGTGCCCATATGCCCATGTCCATGTGCCCATATGCCCATGTGCCCATGTCCATGTGCCCATACCCATAAGCCCATGCCCGTGCATGATTCCGCCACACACCCAGCGCTGCCCACCGCCCACTGCCCACCTGTGCTGTCCTTCATGTCCGCCATAGGTCCGCCCACGCACGCCCTGCCCAGCGGGGCCTGCGTCTTGGAGCTCACAGTCCCCGCAGCCACAGCTGCAGCCGCGTCCACCGTGCACACGCCTCCTGCCCCCCAGCAGAAGGGGCCCACGCCGTTGGTGGTGGTGCAGAAGGCACAATCCGCCGCAGCCCTTTGAGTGGAGCCGTCTGAGGCGCACTTTGAGGGCGTGAGCAGACAGTTGCCGTTGCCGCCGCACCATGTGTAGGTCACTGCTGGGAGGTCCGTGAGGAAGTTGAAGCGCAGGTCCACTGTGCGAAGCCCGGTGGCAAGCGCGGGCACGGAGCCCATGAGGTAATTGGCGGCGACACCACTGGTGAAGGGAGAGAGCAGTGCGAGGGGGGAGTGAAGGCGGCATGCAGAGTGAGTAAACAGGGCAGGAGGGCGAGGGTGAAAGAAGTGGCATGCATGCATGCAGGCAGTCAGGAAGGCATGCAGGCACGCAGGAACACAGACAGGCAGGCAGGTAGGCAGGCACGCAGGCATGCAAGCAGGCAGGCAGGCAGGCACGCAGGCACTCAGGCACGCACACAGGCTCGTAAGCAGGCAGGCAGGCAGTAGGGGCTTTCACGGACTTACAACAGAGTCAGTTTTGGGAGGCCCACGAGGAATGAGGGAATTTCGCCGTACAAGTAGTTGTAGTGCAGGCGGCTGCGAGAGGAGCAGAGACGATGAGGGCGGTGATGAGATGAGGTGAGAGACAGCATGACGTTGGCTTGAAACGAACAGAAACAGCAGAAGCACGAAAAATGCATCACTCCTGACCACACTCTGGCAATCACAGGCGGTCAGCCAGGGCACTCACATATCAGCCAGGGCACTCACATATCAGCCAGGGCACTCACATGTCAGCCAGGGCACTCACATATCAGCCAGGGCACTCACATGTCAGCCAGGGCACTCACATGTCAGCCAGGGCACTCACATATCAGCCAGGGCACTCACACATCAGCCAGGGCACTCACATATCAGCCATCAACGGCAAGGCTCCAAGGTTGGTGGTGAAGGAATCGAGGCGGTAGTTGAGGAGGTTGCTCTGCAGGGAGCTGCCAAGGGGGGCGAGTTGAGGGTGAAGGAGGCGGGTCGTTGCTCTTGAACCTAGACCTTGAACCGAGACTGCATGCATCATGGCAGGTTTGACATCTGCACTAACCAAGTCTAGGTGATTGAGAGTGTCTAATGCTATTAGGTGAGATAGGATACGCGCAGCAGCTAATACAACAGGCAGCAGTGGTAAGCGGATGAGAAACACCATGAGCGGACAACATGGATAAGAACGACTGTGAGCGGCCCGATAACGCAAATAAGAACGACCGGAACACAGCAAACGCTCAACTCACATGTAGGTGAGAGCTGTGAGCGTGGAAATATCAGCATGAAGTGAGTCCTTGAGGCTGGAGGTCGTCAAAACTCTGATGGAAGAAGGAGCAGTTGGTGGGAGGGTGTGGAGGGCACGCAAGGGTGGGTGGGCAGGTGAATATGATGTGTAGATGTATGGCAGGTAGACGATGGGAACGGGGTCACAGTGGCCAGAGGATGCACAGAAGAAAAGCGATGGAAGCAGGAGGAAGACTGAGATCGCCGTGGTGTGGGTGAGGTGGAGGTGGGTGAGACAGAGGCGCGGGCGAGGCGGTGATGTGTACTCACATATCGGACACCTTGCCGGCTTCCGTGCAGAAGACGCCAGTCCACTCGCCCGGAATGGCCACGGGGGCCTTGGTCAAGCGGCACGGTGCAGTGGCCGTCCACGTGGTCAAGGTCACACCCAGCGCGGTCTTGATGTTCTGCATCGCAGCCGCTGTGGGGTTTGCGGGGTTGGCACAGGGGAATGTGGAGAGGAGTTGAAGACGGGTCAGTAGCAGCGCATAGGGAACTTGAGGGCAGAGGGGAGGTAGAAAGCGAGCGTGGCGGCGGCTGTATGGGTGGAGGGAGGGGGTGATGGAGCAAACTTCGCCAAGGGTATTGAGTGTGATGGGGGGTGCGAAGGTGAGTTCTAAATAGGACGAGTAGGAAGGGAAGGGAGGGGCCGCTGACCGTCAGAGGCAGTCATGTTGATGATCTTTTTAACGCACACCAGGGCCACTTCAGATATGTAATTGTTCTGCTTCGCCGCGATCTTGGCATCAGCGTCCGGCAAGCACGTCTGCCCCAATCCGCACAGCGTGCCCGTGCCATCAGTGGTGCCGCAGATACCGCACGCGCTCCTTTGCCCGTTATTCTGGCAGTTGCCGGCGCTTGCAAGGCAGTTTTTGGTAGCAGAGCAGAAGGACCAGGTGCCGGTGGGTAGCGAGCCCACGAAGAAGTTCTGTGAGATGTCCAGCGACTTGATTGAGGTGATGCTTGCTGGCAGCGTACCCGTCAGGTAGTTGTAACGCAACGCCCTGTGGATCGGGACGACACACATTGGTTGAGAGGGTTGAGTGGAAGCGAGGAGTTAAAGGTAGAGAACACCAGCAGACTCACAGTCTCGTGTGAACCAGGAGGGGGTCCGAGCACGGGGAGTGGGGGGAAGGGAGAGGGAAGGAAAAAGTGGAGCGAGCGAGCGAGGGAGGTAGAGAGATGCCGACGGTATTGAGAGACACACGAGGCGTGGCCTGTGGGAACTTACAGAGTCCCGAGGGGAAGAGTGGTGAGCACACTTGGGTACGACCCCGAGAAGAACATGTACTGCATGGCCCTGGCAAAGGGCGGGCGACATGGATGCAACACGACAAGGCAGAACGTCAAGAGGTTAAGTGATAGTTAGCACTATGTAGCCGGAGCTGTAGCCGTCAGCGTGGCTGGTGGCAGCTACCCCACCCATACATGCTTCCTTGCGGAACATTTGAAGCGAGACACCCATGAGAATCCGTGTGATTCTTACAATGACTTCAAGTTGGTGAGCGCAGAGAAGTCTTTGAGGTAGTCTGCGAGGCTGCCGTCGAGGAAGTTCCACGGCATCCCCCTGCAGGGACAAGCACACAGACACGACTGCAGTCAGCACGCTTCCACTCGACTGGGCTGCTGCAGCACACACATGCACCACGCACATGCACCACGCACAAGAGCACTCCACCACAGCTTCCACACGCACGCGCAGCGTGGAGTTTCGTGCAAGGCAGCGAGAAAATGAGCACCTACGTCCAGATCATGCACAGCACAGCCGCACACAAGAACACTCGGGGAGTATCAGCAACAAAGAGCAGTTGCAGGGAATCTGTACTTACAAATAGGTGATAGCTGTGAGCTTGGTGATGTCGGAGGGGAAGCTCTTGCGCACGAGAGCCGCCGAGTCCAGGTTGCTGGGAACGTCCATGCACACGAGCAGGGGGGCACAGGAAACGGTGAGGCGGCGCATAAAAGCATAGATAGACTGCCTACACCCACACCCTGCCTTGCCACCTGCGCTCACACCCTGCCTTGCCACCTGCACTCACATCGTGGCGATGCGGCCTTGAGAGGTGCAGCTCACGCGCTCCCACTCGCCAGTTTTGGCCGGATCGTCGAGCAAACGGCAGGGATTGGAGGACGCCCACGTGGTGTAGGTGAGCCCCATGGCCGACTTGATGGTTTGCAGGACCGCGGCTGATGGGCACCAAGGGGAGGGCAGAGGGAAACGGAGGCGGACGAGACAGCGAACAAGGAGGGAAGGACACATTGGTGGCGGCCCATGTGGTGGCGGCCCATGTGGTTGTTGTGAGCCCCATGGCCGCCTTGATGCTCAGCAGGGCCACCGCTGATGGGCGCGGCAGAAGTGGGGAGGGAGGGGGATGAAAGGTAGGGAAGTGTAGAGAGGGAACAGGAGGGGAAGGAGGGAGGGGCGGAAGAAGGGGAACAGCGGGTGACGAGGTAAGGGGAGGGCCAGGGGGGGGGAGAGGTACTACTACTAGCATCGACAGCGGAGCTGCATGTGAGCAGCCAGCAGGGAGAAGTGGGAACGGTGAAGGGGATGAAGTACGTGGGATACGCACCATCTGCTGCATCCACGTAGATAAACCCACCCACGCACGTCCTAGCGATCACGGGCTGTGAGAACGAGTTCAGAGTGCCGGCAGCCACGTTTGTAGCCGCGTCAACTGTGCACACCCCCCCCGTGGTAGGGCAGAAGGGCGCCACGCCATTGGTGGTGCCGCAGAAGGCACAATCGGCAGCAGCCATCTGAACGGAGCCGGCGCTGGAGCACTTGGAGGGCGTGAGCAGGCAGTTGTTGTTTCCGCCGCAGTACGTGTAGGTGACTGCCGGCACGTCCGTGATGAAGTTGAATCGCAGGTCGATGCTGCGCAACCCGGTGGCGAGCGCGGGCACGGAGCCCGTGAAGTAGTTGGCGACGGCGCCGCTGGTGGGAGAACACAGCGATGGGGGGGAGTGAAGGCGGCGTATGCAGTGAGGAGACGGGACGAGAGGGCGAGGGAGAAGGAAGTGGCATGCCGGCAGGCAGGCAGACATTCTGTCCCTTTACGGACTTACAACTGAGACAGTTTTGGGAGGCCCACGAGGAACGAGGGGATGTCTCCATACAAGTAGTTGTAGTGCAGGCGGCTGCATGAGGAGCAGAGACGAGGAGGGTGGAAAGTAGTGGAGGCGATGAGATGAGAGGCAGCACGCGTAAAGGAATGAAATGTGGGCAGGCATGAGTGGAAGCCACATCGGAAGATAAAAAAATGTTAGGGGTGCGAAGGAGAGGCAGGACAAGATGCAAGAATCACTCTCCTGTGGTCACCCCTCCTCCGTAGCCAGCCAGCCAGCCACACACTGCCACTCACAGGTCAGCCAGCAGCGACAATGTTCGGAGGTGAGTGGCGAAGGAATCAATGCGGTAGTTGAGGAGATTGCTCTGCAGGGAGCTGTGGGGGACGAGCAGAGCGGGAGAGAAGAGCGGGAGCGCAGGGAACATTGTTGCACTTGAATGCATGCCTGTACTGAGAACCCTGATGGGGTTGGGGCCATCCAGACACAATAATGCGAATAATCTAGCGCACTTAGCAGAGCAACTCACAGGAAGGTGAGAGTTGTGAGCGTGGAGATGTCAGAAGCAAGTGAGCCCTTGAGATTTGTTTTGAGCAGCGTTCTGAGGTGCTCAGGGAACAATAGGTGGCAAAGCGTTGGGAAGAGACATGCAAGGGCAGATGGGGGAATGAATACGGTGTGCAGAGGCAAAGCAGGCAAGTGATGGAAGCGGTGTCACATGAGGTAAGTCCTAAGGTGAGCTGAAGGGATGTCACAAGGTAATTCCTAAGGTGAGGTGAAGTGATGTCACGACTTAAGTCTAAGGTGAGGTGACAGCTCATGCCGCTGCTGATGATGCTCACCCACACTGCCACCCATCGGGGTCGTTTCATGTTACATCAGTGTCTTTATAGGCCACGGTGACAAGCCTTGCGCACAACAAGCAAGGTAACCAATATGCCTGATCATGTTTCACCCTTTGGAGATGCCAATCATACCGACTCACATGCTCACGACACTGCCAAACGTGTCACAGAGCACGCCGTTCCACACTGTCGCCGTGGTGGTCGACCCCGCAAGCTGGCACGGCGTAGTGGCCGCCCAGGTGGTGTAAGTGACGCCGAGCGATGACTTGAGGGCCAGCATGGCTGGTGAGGGGCACGTTGGGAAAAGGGGCAACAAGGCAGGCAGCAGGAGGTGCGGGGTACGCCCCAAGGAGCACATGAGCAAGTGGAGGGAGTGGCACGGGTTTAGTATATGGAGGGAGAAGTGCTGGGTGTGGGGGTGGATGGTGGAGCATCATGGCAAGGAAGGAAGGAAGCACACACCATCCAAGCCAAATGTTAGGAAATAGAGTTGACAGGGGGGAGCCACTGACCGTTGACGGGGGACACAGTGAGGGGCGGCTTGGTACGGCATTCCAGGGCCAACTGCGGATCAAAGCCCAGCTGTCCCGTAATTCTGGCGTCAGCGTTGGGCATACACGCTTGCCCTGCTGCGCACAGGGTGCCCGTGCCGTCAGTGCTGCCGCAAAAATTGCATGCGGTTCGCTTGCCCGTGTTGTCGCAGGAGCCGACATCGGCGAAGCAGTTATTCGACACATCGCACATCCTCCAGGCGTTTGCAGGCACGGAGCCCACAAAGAAGTTGTTGGAAATGCCAAGCGTCAAGAACTGGGTGACGCCCGCTGGGAGCGTACCCGTGAGGTAGTTCATGGCCAACATCCTGTGCGGTGGGACAACAAGCATTGTTCAATAAATTTTGGAGGGGGGCCTTGACGTTACTAGAGAGCAGCGCCAGAGTTGCCACTTTTCAGCTGACAAGCGGAGGGTCCGAGCGGGAGGAGTGGAAAAGGTGCGGACAGCGTGTTTCTTAATTGCAGAGCGCCATGCTCGTGCTCAAGATCTCTACAGATAGGTGAGGCGCCTTCAATCGATACTTACAGATTGGTGAGGCGGGTCAGAGTTGTAAGCACGCTGGGGAACGTCCCGGAGAAGAAATTGAAGCCCATGTCCCTGGCAGAGGGAGGGCGACATGAGCACGCACAACAGAAGGACAAGGCTTAAGGGGTAGAGAGATGGCACTATGTGGCCAGAGCCGTGGTCATCAGACGCGACAGCTACCCATTATTTGCTTTCGAGCTGGTACTCACGAGACGTCCAAAGCAAGACCCACACTGTTACAAAATGGGATTCGCCATGCCTGCGTGCATGGGAATACCCGAAAGGTTAGAATTCCCGCTGCCTAGTGAACTCCGGATTGAGAGAAGTGCTAACCTCGGAGTGTATTGCCTTATGATCCTCGTCAGTCAGTGATTAGAAGCTACTAGAATCCAGCAGGGCATGGCGTCAAGGCGCTATGCCAAGATGCCATGCTAGAAACGTGGCAATGCGATTTCCCTTCCGAATCGCCCTTTCTTCCTTCCTAGCATAAGTAGTTTCTCTTAGGCTTATATCATCTCATCTTATTCTTCTAATCCTATTCTTGGAATCTTGATCCTCTTCTCTCAACTCTCTCATCTACGTTCCTGGAGCTAGGCTTCTCTAGCTTAGCTCTCTTCCGCTGCGACGTTCTTTTGAGGCGCCTCAAAAGTCGTTCTTCTCTCTTAACTTCGCTACGGCGCCACGGTCGCTTTGGCGGGCTCGGCCAGCCGCGCCGTGCGTGGCGGCAGCGCACCGTAGCTCCTGTTTCACACACGAATGCGAGAGATTCTTACAATAACTTCAAGCTGGTGAGCGCGGAGAAGTATCTGAAGTAGTCTTCAAGATTTCCGTCGTTGAAGTTAAACGGCATCACCCTGCACACAGCACATAGTCATGACTGGTGTCAGCGCGTATCCACACGACTGGACTCCCGCTGCACGCACACATGCACACATGCACGCATGTACTCCACCTGTGCTTCCAGCGCAGCACACGAGAGCAGTTGGAGCATATCAATGGAGAGCACTTACAAAGCGCCCAGACCTGTGAGCTTTGTAATGTCTGACGGAAAGCTCTTGCGCACGATTGACGCGTAGTTTAGGTCTCTGCGCACATCCACATGTGCAAGGGGGGGAAGGAAACGGTGAGGCAGCGCGTGAGAGGGAGCTTAGATAAACTGCCGCAACACCCTATCGTGCCGCCTGCACTGCCTTGCCGCCTGAACTGCCAGTTCAGACTGCACTGCACTTACATTTTGAAGATGCTGCCGTCAGAATTGCAGGTCACTAACTCCCAATCGTTAGCGACTCCAATGTCGAGATTAATTGTGCACGGATTGGAGGTGGCCCACGTGGTGAAGGTGAGTCCCATGGCCGACTTGACGTTCAGCAGGGCCGTCGCTGATGGGAGCAGAGAGGGCAGAGAAAGGGGGGAGAGGACGGGAGGGGAAAGGAATGGGAGGTAAACGAAGCGAGGAATGTGGAGCCTCCAAAGGGTTGCTTTCAAAGCACAAGTACGTGCGCGTGGCATGATGCAGGGCTTGAGCGATCATTGTTAGAATGTACAGCCCTGGATCTGTTCTGAAATGACCGGAGAGTCACTTCGAGGACCAAATCTAAGGCCCTGGCCCGGCAAAAATGTAAATATCCAAGGGTTGAAAGTTCCCATGGACAAAATGAAGGCAGCGATGTATTGTAACACTTTGACTGAGCAACTCGGAGTCGCTACTGGCAGTAGTGCGTGTGACATGTAATCCGATGACCAAATTGGTCCCTCCAGGATCTATCCCGAAATTCGCTTTGACGACCAGTCTGAGATTCTGTCTTTTGGGATACATTTGGGTGACATTTTGGTCACATATTTTTCCAATAAGAATCTCGGACACTTTTAGCGGTTACGTCCTTGAGTCGTGGTGTCTTGTCTTTTTCTTTTTCCTTTTTTTTTTTGTCAGTTTTATTGGGATGGATGATAAGAAGCATATAACCTCAGTCCAACTGGTGTCATCATGGCGTCATGGTGTCTTAGTACACCGTGTACATCATGGTTTCGGAAGTGACTTTTACTTGGCAAAGTTGTAACTTGTGTAAAAAACACGGGTGAGGACACGAAATGCATGGTTAGGGCTTCCACCTTGATCGGTCGGGATGACGACGCTACTACTGACGCCGTTGAGATGGCTGGACAGCACTGCGAGCACGACCACAATTATTGCGACGAGATGCCTTGGGGCCGCCATGGCGACCATTCTTTCTTCTACCGCCAGTGTCAAATGGACGGCTCTACTACTAGTAGTGTGTTTTGGATCTGGGATAGTGATGCTATGGCATAAACCACTGAAGGGAGGAGAAAGGGAGGAAGCTTTCTGAAAGGCTACGCTCGACGCAGCAAGTATACTGTGATGCAAGCTCTGCGAGTATGAGGGACTTGGGCTGCTCTTTAAACCCGCAGGCAACAACACCCTTACAATGTTGGGAAAACCTTGGGCTGTTGTCGCTGCTACAGTGTTCTCACTTGGTGAATGTTGGGGACCAGGTTTGTGTGTGTGTTTGCAAAGTTGGCTCCGCTGGAAACCGGGTAACACCCAACCAATGAAGCATGAACCAATTTTGGCTTTCTTGGAAACGCGGGTTTTGACAAGCAATGGAGCCCATGGCTGGACCGGATGAAGAACGCGGTGAAACACGCAGTGCTGCGGTGGACAATACACGTGACAAGGTTCTCCCACAGGAGCTTCAATATCATCATCGAAGCCTTCCCTCTCTTTCTAGCTGCCCAGAGAACCTCTCAGCGGTAATACATTGCTTGATTTCTGCAGGCTTTGATAATAGTAGCCTGTTTTTTAGCTGAAGAGGTAAGAGTGCAGAACGTACGAGTGGAGAAGAAATGAAATGGCATGCAACTGGACCAGCAATGGCAACACGGGTACAGTACACGGCACAGTTGAAGTCGTTGACGCGAAGTCCGGAGTACTGTTACTGTACAGATGTTCCATGCCACCATGCATGAGCACAACGTTCGCTGACACCAGGGCTGTCGATTGGTTGAAAACACGCGGAAACATCAGGGTGCCCGGAATATCTGACTCTGTATGTAGCTCGGACCTTCATGCTTCATGGCTCAAAATGTGTATACCCCTGACATCTTAGGGTAAATATTTCTCTACCTTCATAGCCAGTCAGAGGTGTTCAGGTACGTGAGAGAAGAGGTCGGTTTGGTAATCTGGCTCAACCAGGGGCTCAGCTGCGCTACGATGCGTGAAAAAGGAGTAGGTCTGGAAGAGAGATTGCGTACGTGATTAGTGTCAGAACATTATATAGCTTATGCTGTTGTGTAGGCTATAGTGGGGTATCCCATAGGGGGTACAACCCAATTAGGGTTTTCCATATGTACTCACCTCATTCATAGTTCATTCATCCTCGTTCTTCATTCTTCTCATGGTATCGAGCAGGTTCCCTCGTGGGAACTGTTCCTAGGGCCCACCGTTTTTTTTCCTGCCCGGAGCGCACTCTGCCCCTACCCGAGTCGCGCTCCCCTCTCTCTTGGCCCCTAGTGGCCCCTTTAGCCGCCCGTCACGGCCCTTAGACGCCCGCGCGCCGCCCGTCCCGGCCCCTTAGACGCCCGCGCGCCGCCCGTCCCGGCCCCTAGACGCCCGTGCGCCACCCGGCCCGGCCCCTAGACGCCCGCGCGCCGCCCGTCCCGGCCCCTAGACGCCCGCGCGCCACCCGTCCCGGCCCCTAGACGCCCGCGCGCCGCCCGTCCCGGCCCCTAGACGCCCGCGCGCCGCCCGTCCCGGCCCCTAGACGCCCGCGCGCCGCCCGTCCCGGCCCCTAGACGCCCGCGCGCCGCCCGTCCCGGCCCCTCGACGCCCGCGCGCCGCCCGTCCCGGCCCCTCGACGCCCGCGCGCCGCCCGTCCCGGCCCCTCGCCGCCCGTGAGCCGCCCGTCCCGGCCCCTAGACGCCCGCGCGCCGCCCGTCCCGGCCCCTAGACGCCCGCGCGCCGCCCGTCCCGGCCCCTCGACGCCCACGCGCCGCCCGTCCCGGCCCCTAGACGCCCGCGCGCCACCCGGCCCGACCCCTAGACGCCCGCGCGCCACCCGTCCCGGCCCCTCGACGCCCGCGCGCCGCCCGTCCCGGCCCCTCGACGCCCGCGCGCCGCCCGTCCCGGCCCCACGCCGCCCGTGAGCCGCCCGTCCCGGCCGCGCACCGCAGTCCCGGCCCCACGCCGCCCGTGCGCCGCCCGTCCCAGCCGCGCGCCGCCGTCTCGGTCCCCACGCCGCCTGTGCCGCTGAGGAGCTGAGCCGC